GCGTGGGTCTGGTTTCCTCTTGCTCAGCTCCTGGCACTGGCATTGTCTGCCCCAGCCACCCTTCCCAGAACACAGATCTCCCTCATCCATCACAGTTCTGACACAGGATCCCTCTCTGACACCCACTCCTCCTTTCCTCCCTTCTCCCAGTCTGCCCAGGATGGATCAGCACCCCTGACATTATCCTGCTCCTTTCAACGATCTATCCATCCACCCATCCATTCCTCATCCATCCACCTACCTGAAAAGTGACCTGCCCACTTGTCCCTCCCCAGCCCAGAGCCTGCCTGTCTGTCTGTCTGGGAACACCAGGACATCCCTGGAGGTGGAAAACATGGAGTGTGTGTGACTGTGGGCCACCAAAGCAATCCAGGAAAACCAGCTCTGGAAACTGCCAAAGACAGTTTGTAAACTGGCTGCAGACACGAGATCATCTGCCTGGTCTCAGAGGCTCTGCTTTTCCCAGGCAGTTGCAAACTCAGCTGTGTTGAAGGGAATAATGTTGCAAAGAGGTGACAAAGGTCAGTGTGAGACATTAAAGGAGGGGAAAGTGATTTATTTTAACACAAAATGTTTTCATTCACTCAGGATACAGGTACCCCTTAGCACCAAGATGTATTCCAGTGGTTTTCCCAGCATGCAGGCACCAAGAGATGTGCATCCAGATGAACCCAGTGATGTTAGGGAAGGCTCCAGGTACTCGGTACCTCTTAGGGCTGGATGCTTCAAACTGAGGTGACTTGAAAAATGAAGTTTTGCATCTTCAGGAGCCTGGAAGTGGCTTCGTTTTCTCCCACTGCCTGGGCCAGGCCACATGGCCATCTGACCATGATCTTCCTGGGCACCTCCATTTCTGGGCTTGGCTCATCCCTGGGGCAGAGAAATAACTGGCAGGAGACTCCCGTGGTTGGGCTCTTATTGGGTTCTCAGCTGGTTCAGCCTCACAGCACAGCCCTAGCAAAGAACTACTTTGGCAGAGACTTTTGAGATCTTCCTTGCTGCAACTTTGATCCTAAACAGAAGGATTGCTTCCTGTGACACTTGGGAAAGTCAGCATTAGTGTGAAAGCAGGGTAGAAGCTGCACCTGCAGGGATGAACCTGGGTGAGAACTTTTGTGCTGGAGAGCATTGATCAATTCACTGCATATGCACAGGAATCAAATTAAATTCCTTGGGAAAAGTCTTGCAATGGTTTTGAAAGTCAAGACAGTGGGATCTCATAGATTGTTTCTAGACACTGAGAGAGTGTGGAAGGGAGTAACATCTCAGTTTGGATTTATCAGAACAACAGAAACTCCCAACAAGAAAGGACTTTCCTGTTCAGCTCCAAACTAGGGAGTGGCACATTCATGAAATGGTACAGTTTTCCCTGTCACATGCTGGGGAATGAGAGAAGAGAGAGGTAAATCCCTGTTTGCTTGACTGTCTGTCCATTGCTGGGTGCCTTCCCTGCCTGCTCCCTGCCTCCTCGCAGGGCTCTGCTCCTGCCCTTCCCTGCAGCCATGGACAGGGAGGGTACATGGGCACACCAGTGTTCCTGAGGGCACAGGCTGGCAGAGGGGATAGAGAGACCATCCAGACCTGGAAACCAGCAGGACAGCAGAACCACCATAGGGGCAGGAGAGTTTAGAGAGAGTGGGAGGGGAGGGAGCTGAATTTGAAGTGTGCTGCTGAGAGCCCCAGTTGTGCAAGACTTGGGTGAGCTGATGTGTCACAGAAATGTTCTCCTGGAATCCAGGAACAGGGCTATGAAAGCACTAATTAGGGCCTAATTGCCCTGAGCAACCTCACTTGGGGTCCCTTCCTACACCTCTGCCCAGGGCCAAGGGACTCTCCTTAAACTTAGGCCTCATCTTTCACCCACTTCCTGTGCTTTGCTGCAGTTGCACCAGTTTTCAGGTTTTCCTGAACTGTTGTTTGGCCTTCTCTGGCTGACCTTGGATCTGACTTCTTTCCTGGCCTTTGATGATCACAGGACCATTGATGGGGACAGTTGATGGACCCTGTCACTGTTCCCTCTCTGCTCACCCACTTCAGGTGCTGGGTTGAGTTTACCTGGTCAGTAAGGTTCCTGTCCTGCCTCTGCTGGGGCTGCCCCTTGCACCAGGGAGCAGCTCCCCAACACCCTGCTCTCACAGTAACTTCTCTGCCTCACAGGTCTCCCAGCCCTTTGGTGCAAGGCTGTAGAACAGCTGGGAGGGGAGTTTGGCTTTCCTTCCTGGGAGAGGGTAATGGAGGGGATGGATCCCCTGCACTTTCCCTGGTAGAGTTTCTGTATTTCAGTACCTTTCACTTGGTATCCAGGTGTGTGCTGAGCTCCTGGCTATGGACAGGTCACTCAGCTGCTGGGCTGGTTCTCCACTGGTTCAGCCCCTCCACAGCCAAGACTTCCAGTGCTCCCTGCAGGAGTGAGGCCTTTAAAGGGACAGTGAATTGTACAAGCTCAGGTGTCTGAAGGGACTGTGATGTGTCACACTGGATGGCTGCTTGAGGGATGGCAAATGTAAAAAAAATAGATCTTTGTCCCCTCAGAGAGGTTCTCTGCTGCCAGCTGCATCCTGGGGTGATGTGGATCTCAAACAATGCTGTGGTGTCTGTGTGGGACACTCCTGTCAACACAGTATGCTGGGGGTCAGAAGGCTGTCTGGGATGTGACAATTGTGACAATGGGTACAACTGCCTCTGGTGTCCATGGCCACTTCTTTGGGACTCCACACTGAGCACGAAGCTTGAGAAGAGCACAGAGGAACTTTGTGTTTAGTCTGTCACAGTAAACACTCAGAGTTCTCAATGTTCATGCATTTGTGGGTCATTTCTGTGTTCTGTCCTCATTTAATGGAGAAGTGAGGGGGTTTTGTGCCCTCAGAGCAACTTCTAAAAGACAATTTAATGGCTGCATTCAAACATAAAAGGGGAGAGGGCCAGGGCTGGCTGAGTCAACAGTGTTTGAGCATAATACCCTATGAGAGAGTAACAGAATCTGTCTGTGTCATAAATAACACTGAATGGCTTATTTTGGCAAAGAATTTTCATTCCTGACAAATGCCATTTTGAGACAACCAATAACCACCTGCTGATTTGGGATGAAATTAGAATTTGAATGCTCAGGTCAGCTCAGACATAGTGTTTGGTGGGTTTCCAGTGGAGACTCTCACATGTCTGAAAGGAAATAATCTTTATGAGGCTGTCAGAGGCAAGGGAATACTCAGGCTTACAAATCCTTGCACTGTTTTATTGGGAATGCCCATGTCAGGGGATTGCTAAGTAAAGCACATTACATAAGGCTGCCCTTTGGGGTGCTAAGGTCTCATAACTGGGACATATTTTCAAGTCTATCAGAATGATTTCAGCATCTCCTGACTTGTTAGTACTTCTCTTTTTTTGAAGCAGATGTTTTTTCTCTTCTACTGCAATAAATAGAATCTTCTGTGTTTTCCCGACTGTAAAAGTGCATAAAGGTGTGTAAATGTGATCCTTTGGGATATGTCATTTGCACTTTCTGGCTTAAATCTGTTCCAGTACAAGCTCATCAATTTGTGACCCAGATCTCTCCTCCACGGGAAAGGTGTTTACCTATGGAGGGGCAAGGTAGGAAACTCTGGCTTCTGTGGTATCAAGGGACTGAGAATCTGAACTCCAAAATCTTGTTAATCTAAAGTAAAAATTAGGGAATAATGTTCCCATTTGGAAAGTACACTAAAGTACAGGCAAAGCTTCTGTCCTCCTGGTTCATCTTCCTGCCTTGGCTGTTCCTCTGTACAATGAGTGCTTTTGAAGGCACCTGGGTACAGTTACATCCAGGGCACAACAGGCCCATTGCCTGCTGGGGGAGATTGCTTTCACTGGATAGAAGCAAAACCTTTGGAAATGAGGTTTGCTGTAGGTTCTTCCTCTTGTGTGGGCTGAGGCTGGTGCAGTTCCAGGCAGGTCTCATAGGACAGGGGTTTGCCCACTTTCCAGGATGGAAGAGCTCCAGGTACAGCCTCTCCCACAGGCACATTGGCTTCTTTGAAGAGGACAAGACAGAGAAAGCTGAACTTTATCCTAATCCGCTTTTTAGAAGCACTGCTGTGCTCATGTCTACCTGGAAGTATTGGCCTCTGAAATGACTGTGATTGGCATTCCCCCAGTATGTGGCTGTCCCTGAGATGGGCAATGGGGGCAAGGAAACACCTGGAATATCTGCAACCTGCAGCCCTTTGGGTGACCCTTGGGTGCCCACTGCCCTCTGCAAGCTGAGGAAACTGTGCCTATAACCTCTTCATTCCCTGCCTGGGGTCTTTTACTTTGAGTGTCTGTCTGGTTTTTCTCAAGACTTATCTCCATCACTCCAGGTGACTCTGGATAAATTCTCACAGCAGAGAATTAGTACTACTACAAGTTTGCTGAGGTGTCTGATCTCCATTTCCACCCTGACCTTTTTGTGCCTAATTCCCTGTTAAAGCTGTTTTTATCCAAAGGTGCATGAAGGACTGTAGGTAACAGCAGCTGCCCTTGGCTGTGTAACAGGAGTGCAGTCTCAGACTGGTCAGTGTACACTACAAGTTCACATTAACACTGTGAGATAAATTCACATTAACACTGTGAACTGCTGCTCTGAAGGGGTCTGTCCATCCCTTATAAATCTGACTTTTCAAGGAGTTATTTTTTTAAAAAGAGTGTATGTGAAGAAGCCTCACCTTTAACCATGCTTGGCCACTCACTTTTATCTGAAATTCAATTTATCTGTTCTGTTAAGGACCCTACTTATTCCTGGAATGGGATTCAAACCAGCTGAACTCCGGTTCCCTTTAAAACATTGAGAGCTCTTCAGTTGTGTCAAAGTTTGTAACAAGTTGCTGCGAAGAGGAAACACAATCCACAGACAAAGCACCATCCCACTGACTTGTGAAATGCTGAAGAATTATGTTCATCTCAAATTTGCTCAGCACCATTACTGGAATGGACTGAAATAATAACGAATAGGAGGCAGGTGCCCGGGTGCCCATAAAAATCCCAATCCTCTGGATGTCTCGGAAGCTAACAGCCCTGTGACAGGCGGCCCCGCCCGCGGCGACACCGCGCCGGGACAGCGGCGGAGGGAGGCGGCACCGCCGGACGGACTGCGGAGCTCCGGCCCGGCCCGGCCCGAGGGACCGCACGGAGCCGGCCCGGCCCTGGTGCGGCTGCGGCTGCCACAGCACGCGGCTGGAGGGGACAGCACGCGGCTGGAGAGGACAGCACTCGGCTGGAGAGGACAGCACTCGGCTGGAGAGGACAGCACTCGGCTAGAGGGGACAGCCCGCGGCTGGAGGGGACACCCGGGCTGAGAACCGCAGGTGAGTGCTGGACACCTGCTCCGGACACGGAGCCGTGTTTGTGCGAGCCGTGCTGCGTTTGAGCTCCGTGTGATCGCCTTCACAGGGCAGGGGAGGTGGGTGACACCCCTCGGGGACAGACCCTGCGAGGGGACAGACCCCGCAGAGGGACAGACCCTGCACTGGGACAGACCCTGAGGGGAGACAGACCCTGAGGGGAGACAGACCCCGCACAAGGACAGGCCCCACACAGGGGCAGACCCTGAACTGGGACAGACCCTGCGAGGGGACAGACCCTGCACTGGGACAGACCCTGAGGGGAGACAGACCCTGAACTGGGGCAGTCCCTGAGGAGGCACAGACCCTGCGGGGAGACAGACCGCGCACAGGGACAGACCCTGAACTGGGACAGTCCCTGAGGAGGCACAGACCCTGCGGGGAGACAGACCGCGCACAGGGACAGACCCTGAGGAAGGACAGACCCTGCACTGGGACAGACCCTGAGGGGAGACAGACCCTGAACTGGGGCAGTCCCTGAGGAGGCACAGACCCTGCGGGGAGACAGACCGCGCACAGGGACAGACCCTGCACAGGGACAGACCCTGAGGAGGGACAGACCCTGCCCTGGGACAGACCCCACACAAGGACAGGCCCCACACAGGGACAGACCCTGTAGAGGTACACACCCTGGGAGGTTCATTCCTGCAGAAAGGAGAGCTCAGTGACCCTTCTGTGAAACCACAGGATTCATAGAACAAGTGGGGATGAAAGGAGACAGATGCGCTCTCTTTCTGTTTTTCTCCATTTCCATGTTTTTCTGTATTTCTGGGGTTTTTTTCCCCTATATTTCCATTTTCTGAAGGGAGGTCTAAGCAACCTGATGTTCTTCCCTTGGTGGGGAGTGGAACGAGCTGAGCTTTAAGGTCCCTTCCAACCCAAACCATTCTGTGATTTTATAATTCTGTGATTTTGATTATTTCTCCATTGGATGCTGGCATAATTTTCTGAGGAGAGAAGACAAAGGACTTGGTACGATTCAATGTGAATTAAGTAAAAGTTGTTTATTGTGCTTCTAAACATTGTTTATATTTACTTCTTATCTTGGTTTGTACAGTCAAGTATTGTTTAATTGGTACTTCTGTTGTGTCTATGCATCTTTTGATCGGTAGTTTGACTTTGTTTACAAGGCAAGCACACATCTCTTTCTTAAACTAATTGGTAAATGTTGCATTAGTTTACTCAGGTTGACACCCTTATGTCTGTTAGTAATTTCTTGGCTTCTTCTTTCTTTTTGTAATATTAGCTTTTTATCTATAAAGATGACTTCATTTTTTAGTTCTAGAAGGTTGGGCTGGTTCATTTAGTACATGTCTATTTTCTTGTAAATACGATCTTACAATTTTCTGGCTTAAGATGGCACTTATTTTATTCTGATATTTTAGTGCTGGATAAAGAGAGAGTGTGACAGTGAACAAACTTCAGAAGGAATGGGGCAGCATTCCCAGAAATGTGAGTGTCCTGGCACCTCTGTAGGTGCCAGACATGCACTGGTGCCAGCACAGGTCATGCACTGACAGGACAGTGTTGAGATTAATTCTGGTGTCCCACATAGACAACAGGAAGATAGCACATGCTGTGGCCTCTTGAGGTTCCAGAGAGAATTTCTTACCATTTATTTCAGTGTGAAACTTCCCAGCACATCAGGGAATGCAACATTAAAACAGCTGGTCAGGCCAGGATGGGGCTTGTTTCGCCTGTTGCCACTTGCAGGCTGGGGCACAATAAATCCTGTAATATAAAGAACTCAGAGCTGGGGAGTCTGCTGTGCCTCTGGTTTGAGGCAGAGAGGGGGACAGAGATAAAGCCTTCAATCCCTGGTTGCATTTTATTGTTTAATATGCTGCATGCAGTGAGCTTTGTTAACCCTATGACTGCCTGAGGGGTTGTGTCTGGGAAGTGCTCCCAACACACAGAATTCATTTTAGCTGGAGAGCGACATTTAGCAAAACCCAAGGGCCATGTAAGCTCAGATGGAAGTTGTACAGGCACCCCTTGTTCTCTGCATTCATTAAAGCCCAGAGGGGCTTAAACCCTTGTTCTCTTCTGTGTCTCAAAGGGGGTGGAAATCCAGGTGGAGGGATATGTCTGGTAATAAGCTGATGTTTAATCACATCTTTGGTGAGTCTTTATTAAGTGTCTGTTGCCCACTATTTTGTTTTGTGGATGAAAATGGTAAGTAAATCCAGCCCCAGGATTGGAACATGCAAGGAAGATAGTCATGGGAGCAGCTATTACTGGAAAAAGTGGGAATGTTGGGTTAATAGGCAGCCAGGCTCCAACTAAATCCTAGACTGCTAGCAAACCCCTTCGGTCAGTCATGGATGCAAACACTGAACCAGTGAGAAGAGAACTGAGCAAGAGAACAGAAGGAATTCTCTGTAGTGTGGGAATGAGGGAGCTGATCTGCGCTGTGAAAGCAGAGCACTGGTGCCTCTTGCATTCTTTCCCTTGGTTCTGATCTCCTTGTATTGTGTGAAGGTTCAGTGGACTGCAGTGGGCCTGACCCTGGCTCTGTGTGCCCAGTGACAGCAGCCCTCAGCTTGCAGGTGACAGAGGGACACACTGGCACCTCAGGTGGGGAGGGAATGTCACCCCAGGCTCAAGCTTGAAACAAGTCCCTTCAATTTCTTCTGGACTCTGCACCGTGGATGAACTGGTGTTGAGGGACTGCAATGGGAATGAGCAACTCCCACGGAAAAGAGCAGCAAATACCCAGTAACTGGAACATCACATTTACTTAAATTCCAATGCTGTGGGTATGGAAGACTCACTGGGGCACTCACATGATTGGTGTGACTGTTCCTCACCTGCTGCAGGATATTCTCCTGGGAAAACCAAAATGCTCTTCTGTCACCCAGCTGGCCCCTGGCCTGATCTGAGCACACAATGTCATGTCCCTGTGCTCACACATGACCAGCATGACCAGCACTGCCAGACTCACCTGATGTGGTGTAGTGTGCTGGGTGCTTGGAGAGCTGCAGGTACCTGTAATCTTCACTGAATGTGGGCCTTTATTCCATATTCCATGCCCCTTTTCTTGTATAGTTTTTATGGGATTCTCATTGCTGTTATGTCAAGATGGACTTGGAACACGACCACTGAGCTTTGCACATCTTCACTCATCTCATATGTGAATATTTCTGCCCCAAAGAAGCCTCCCTGCCACCACTTCCACTCTTAGAGCAGTCAGGACTGTCCACCAGACTGCAGGGAAATGGGGCATCTTGGCCTGGTTTTTGATCTTGGTCATTTCATTATGGACTGAAAATCCAGACAGGATTTTGGACCTACCAGGTCTTGGTTTCCTGAGTTCCTGCCCTTTCTGAGCCATGTGGGTGCCAAAGTCTGTAGGAAGAGCTGTGCCAGTTGTCAGTGGTCAGAGTCGGAAGACTTGACACCAATATTCCAAGAAGGGAATTACAGGGAAAACAGAATGTTGGAAGAGTCTTGTTTCCAGTTAAATAAGAGTTTTAAATTCAATCTGAAATAACTGTCCTTCAGCTATTGCCTCTGGACATTTCTTCACCTTAGGTGAATGGCCTCACTTTTAGGGAAAAACGTGTTCCCTCTGCAGGGAAAGCAGTGCCCACTGAGCATCCCAGCCTCGCTGTGACATTCTGCAGGCTCCCAGTGGCACTTGGTGGCTCAGCCCTGGCACACAGGGGTTAACAGGGCCTTGGGTGGGCGGGTGGAAAACAAGCTGAAATGGAAGAAGGTCAAGCTCTTGGAGGAGGTTGCTCTGTTGCAGATGGTTTTAAATTATCAGTCCCCCTGGAGGAGAGGCCCCACGAAAACTGTAAAACCAGGGCTGGAAATGAGGCAAAGCACGATCAGATTTGTGAGATCAGTGGAACAGGAGCAGTTGTGGATCTCCAGGGTCTTGTTAGACCTGTTAGGCCCCACTGTCTGTCTAATTAGGAATTCCTCAGTTGAGACCCAACAGCTAAATGTGATTGGAGACTCAATACCACTGGCACTTTTCTGTGGGGAGCAAATGCCTGGAAAGGGAGAGCACATGCGAAGAGGAACAGCAGAAATCCCTGTGGCCCTGGGTAGCTCAGGCCTCTGGGATAACTCTGCTTCTGCAGCAGCTGAGGAGAGCTGAATTCAGGTTTCAGTGGGCGCAGGGAAATGCTTCCTGTGGGAGCATTCCTAGGCCTTACCCAAAGTGCTGCTCTCTCTGAGACATCTCTGGCAATGGGGTTTATTAAAGGTGCAGCATCCAGTCAGCAAAGCCACAAACTGCTGTCCTGAACCAGCAGGACTGGTGTCTGAGGGAGCATCTTCGGGATGGTCATTGTCCAAAGCAGCTGAAAATGCTGTGGGAGTCCCACATTGCTAGAAAACAGTGGCTGCTACTGAGAGGATTTTCCAGTAGCAGTTCAGATTTCCCAGATCCTTGTTGTCTTATTTTCTTGGCTTGTCAACTTTCAAATGGTTTATATTTCACTTTGTAACTGCTTCTACTTTTATGTCACTGCAAAGGTAGCAGGAAGGATCTTAGCCCAGGCATCAGTTTGAGCAATTCCATTTTCCTCTGTTGACATGCTTTTCTCATGAACTGTGAAACTTTAAACACTTTATTCCTTCTTTCTTTTTGACCAGCAACAATGGTCGAAAAGAAAGAAGGAATAAAGAAAATTACTACAGAATTTAATTTTCACATTTATCTTTTAAATTGTTGGTTGACATGGTGATTCCCAGCCCTGCAAGGGAGAAATTTTTGATACCTGGGTGAGAATCTTCTTTCTCAGGCTAGTAGAAATGATGCTCTTTGTGGTTCTTAGGTCTTGATGCAATCTGACAGGAGTCTAAGCTGTGGCACCGAGGGTTTTCTGTGTGTTCCCTTCCCATTAGCCTGATTTTAAAATTATCATCTTCTCATAGGAAAGCCTTCTTCTGGTTCTGCCAGCACAGACAGCCTGTGAACCATGGCAATCACAGTAAAAACATTTCTCTTGCTACCTTCTGGAGCCAGCCGTTCCTCTCCAATTGAACATGAGATTTAGTATGAATTTGTTCACCCCAAGCAAAGGAAAGCAACGACTGTGGGCTCTCAGGCTGAAGTGAGTGAAAGCAGCCTTCAGGCCAGTCAGGTTTTGTTGCCTGCAGGTCGAGCTTCGGGGAGAAGGGAACTTGCAGTCCCACACTGGCCATCTCTGTGAACATCAGGGACTAAGCAAAAGCCCCTCTGCTTTAGGGGAGCTTTCTGAGCAGAGGAAGGAAGGTTTACAAGGTCTTCAAGGGCAGACAAGAAGCAAAAGATTTGAGGTCACAATGTACTGAACTTGTATATCTAGGTACCTGTCTGTGGAAATCAGAGATCCCATAGTGCTTTGGGTTGGAAGAGAACTTTAAAACCATCTAATTCAAATTCCCTGCCATGGGCAGGGAACCTTCCACTGGTGGAATAAGTGGCCTTGTTTGCTGCTCATGGGAAAGGAATCAGCCTGTGTCTGTATTGGAAGGAAAGGAGCAAACTGAGGTGTGTCTTTTGGCTGTAGCAGTGGAGCTATTCTAAAGCAACTGGATTTCTTTCAGGCCTCTTGGAATAGCACAGACCGAGGAGCTCTTCTGCTGAGGGCCAAGCCCAGGCATGGTTGACCCACCACGGATGCAATAATTCACTGGTTTTACTTCTCTGCTAAAGAATTGTGGTATCTCATAAGGACTCATGGCTTCTGAGTAGGACACACCCATTTGCTGGTGTGGCCTACACAACGTGGTGTACAGCCTGTCCTTTCCTTGGATCTGCACAAGTGTTTGTCCTTCTCTGAGGCCCAAGGGCTTGCACTGGAGATGCAGCGTGGCCTTGACTGATGGTCGCATCTGGGCAGGCTGGCCCTGGCCGTGGCCGGCCTTGCCAAGGGCTCCAGGGCACCTCCCCTGGGCTGGGGGACTGTGGGGCTATAATGAGCCCCCAGAGCTGCTCCAGCTCAGTGTGGAGACACCCAACAGCTCCTGGGCACAGCCTCACCTTCTGCAAGACTGGAGAGGCGTGAGGGGGACAACAGTTTGCTGTTTCTTTTGTCATTTAGTGACATTTACACCAGATGGATAAGGGGCTTATCTTCCTTCCCACAGGTCACTGATATCTGGACCAGGGGACCCACTGGACAGCTATGAAGAGCTCTGTGCTCTGAGTGAACAAAGGCACTGTGGGTCTGGAGACGCAGAGTGACTTCCAGAGGATCCTCCCAGAAGCTCAACCTGTAGAGCGGTGAGTTTTGCCATGTCGCCACTGATTGTGGGGGTGATGCAGAGCTGGGACTGGGAAGTGACACCTTTGTTGTCACACTGAATGTGGGTTTGTGTTGCAGTAGGTCTGGAAATGGTTGTAAACATTCTGGGAGTAGTGGGGTCCTGTGGTGTTTGGCTCCTGCAGGGTACACTGATTTCCCTGGATTTCCCTGGGAAGATGCCAGGCTGTTGAAGATCTGCTGTCATTGCCTCTTGGAGCTGGCAGGGGACTTGTGGCACAGGTACACTGGGGTTCCTACGGGTTTTCATCCTGAACAGTGAGTAGGGATATGTTATCTTTCCTTCCTGGCAGTGAGACACTGTTGTGTTGGCTCTGTGATACTTGCTGTAAATCCATTGCCTGCATCAAAGTCTGTTTCTGTTATGAAAAGTCGATGGGAGTGTTGTGGCCATGGAGAGGCACAGACTGACCAGTTCTCTTGCTGCCATCCCATCCCTGCTGCTCCAAAGGGACATGGATTCACTCTCCTGCTCACTGGTGGGGCTTAATGGCTTTTGCTCCCTTAGAAAATAGGGATGGTGTGTGCCTCCTCTTGGCCTTTGGTATCAGTGCCACTTTCATACATAAATGGGTGCAGGGTATCTAGTTTGTGTTTCTGTGGATCCTGAGCAAGCACTTAGGTCGTGTTCATAATCCCTGGGGCAGAGGAGAAGATCAGGTCAGGTATAGATTTACCAAAGGATAAGTCACACAAAATCTGATCCTTGGGCATTCCTCCCCACTCTGCACAAGACCTCCATTCATCACTGGAGAGCTTGTGACATTCCCGCTGTGACCTGCTCAGAAGTTTTAACGAAGTTTCCTTCTGCAGTTTATTGGCCTTCAGTTCTGTGGTTCTAACCAAATAATTTGAAATTTTCCTTGAAAATTCATCTGAAATGGGAAGACTCAAGCTCAAAATATTACTTCAAGTTAACAAAAAATCACAGAAAGCCAACCCAAAGCTAAAAGAAAACTTCTAGTTGAAATATACTCACCGAGTATCTGGATCTCTGGGGTAAAGCACAGCCAGAATTTGACTGAGCTCACAACAATTTGGTATTTTGTTTAGAACATTTTCTGTGTCAGGACCACCCTGATTTTCATGATTTACAAAGAGAAATTCAAAGATAATTAGAAAGAGAAAAGCTTTGTCAGGGGAGGGTGCTGGCACTGCCCAGGCTCCCCAGGGAATGGGCACGGCCCCGAGGCTGCCAGAGCTCCAGGAGTGTTTGGACAGCACTGCCAGGGATGCCCAGGGTGGGATTGTTGGGGTGTCTGTGCCGGGTTGGATGGTCCCTGTGAGTCCCTTCCAGCTCAGCAGATTCCTTGATATATGCCCCTATGAAAGAAATGCTGCCTCTGTTGCTGATTACTTTACCATCAGTGGTTTAAGTCTGTGCTAATGGCTTTGTCCCCACTGTGTCTGTGCTTGTGCAATGCCCATGGCACACCCCGAGCCTCTGCACCCATCCCCTCCCCATGAACCACTCACTGCGTGCCACTTCCCTACAGGTTTGCCTAATTTTGCTCACCAGTCTGCCAGCAATTATGTCACATCTTGTCTGTGTATTGCACTGTCTGAAGCCTGTAAATAACTCCCTGTGACACCCCCAATACTTACAAATCCTCTGACTCCCAAATGTTTTGCTTATTCACTCAGCTGATTTATGGCCCCAGTACTGGTGTCCAGTCAGGGTCACAGGGAATGGTCTCCTGCTCTGTCTCATCCAGACAGATTGATGAACACACAGGATGAAGGGCACCCTCCCACGCTGCCAGGCTTCTTGCTTTATTTTGGGACATTAAAATTGTTGTCAGTAGCCAAGGGCTTGCTCCAGCTCTGCACTCAAAGCCTCTGTCTCCAGTGGGGATGTCCCTGCAGGTGCAAAGCAGACAGACATCTGCCTGGAATGAGGAATGGCCAACTGGATACCTGAACAAGGCTAATGCATGACAGGGTAGTGTTTTACAGAGGAGTGAGAGTGTTGAGCTGCTTCCAGTGTCATTCTGTTGTGCTGGGGGTGTTAGCAGCATTCACCTGGGGAGGGGTGACTCCCTCTTGGAAGCATTTATTCCATTGAATAAATCATCCTCATTTGGACACCAATGGTTCAAGCACCTGTGAGTCAAGATATGAATTACACTATGACAATTTTTGGAAGCCTTTTGCTGTCTCATTTTAAAAATTCTGTGATTTCTTTTTCTAGATTGAACTGGAGTCAGAACAAAGCTATGATCATTCATGTAACAAGGGAGTAAATTTTTTTAAAGTAAGCAGGGGTAGGTTTTAGTGACTCTGTGCCAACCAGGGTGTTATTTTCTGGTACTTATTTAATACACAAGACCCTGGAAAATGCAACGTGGTTGGATTCATTACACTGAAGGAATGTTCCCTTCATATCCAGCACTGTTATTTTAACCCTGCAATCAATGTGTGGCATTAACATGCTTCCTTCTCATTCTCCAGAAGTCAGGAATTCACAGGAGTTTAAGGACTCACAGGAGCTTATTTTTAATCCAAGTGAATTTCTTAAATCTTTAAGACTCTGTAAAGTCAGCAGTTTATACATACTGCACATAGTGCATGTTGCCCACTTAGAGATGGGACCTGTTACTGCCTGTGCAAACATTGATAGTATTTGGGGGTTTTACCAAACTAGATTTGAATTTAGCCCTCTCTTAGCAGTTTGTGTTATGGTAACACATGTCCACTGTCACACCAGGCTGAGAATGAAACATTCTGACATAAAACATTTGGAGATGTAAGGAAAGGCTTTGGAGCTGAGTTTGTACCATGTTGCTGTTTCAGAGTAGCTGCTCCTCTCCCAGCGTGGAGGAAAGGAGTCTGGAGTAGCAAAGAATAACTGCAAGTGTAACATAAACAGAGCTTAGGGGAAAGCTGCTGCAAGCTGGTGTCAGGTCATCCTGTTTGGTGAGTGTTGTAAGCATCAGGCATTCCAGCTCCAGGAGTGGTGACATGTTTAGGAAGATACAAGAGGCAATAGGGGATTATGTTTGTTGTTAATGCGGTTCAGTACTGTGGAGGACAAATTAAATCCATAAGAGGGTGATCAAGGGCCTCTAAAAATCTCAGCCATTCACTGTGCAATGCCCTGCCCGGGGCAGGAGAGGGTGCCCTGGAATCAGCTTCTTTTCAGTTCAGTTTTGTGTCTTTTCCTTCCCACAAGCTCCTCATTCCCTTCATTCCCAAGTTCTAAGACATCTCCCAAGGCTTTACAGAAGTAACTGTGTGATGTACCAGAATAGCAGCATACAGATGAAATGCAAACTCCTTGTTGTGGTGGGAGCAGCAGAGGACATCCAGATCAGGTAGGACGGGACAGGAGGGAGGGCTTGGCTGGTGCTCACACAGCCCTCTCCCATTTCCCAGTGCTGTTGTCTCAGTGCATTTCCACTGAGGCCAGGGAGGCTCACAGGGATGTCAGCTATTGCTGAGATTTATAGTGTGTGCAGAGCCCCAAAACAAGATTTGTGGTAAGGACAAAATGGAGACAGTGATTTTTTGTAGGGAGGTATCTGTGGCTCTTTGCAGCTGCTGAATAATGGCAAAACACATTTTGGTTCAGAAGCTGACCCAGAGGTACTGTGAGTGACACTCTCTTTGGCCTGGGCATGGTTTATCCAGCACAAATTATTTTTGCTCACTAGGTTGTCTCTTACCTTTAGCTGAAACCAATTCTCACCCAGACAATGCAGCTTGGAGTGAATGTGTGACAAGGAGATGTCACCCGTATGTTTTCATCAGGTGCCAGGTGACAGAGCTCAGCTGGATGAATGTCTGGTGTAGGTGTGCTCCCAAAGTCCCTGTGCCTTTCAAAGCTGATGGAAGTTGCATGTTCCTGTGTCCTTCTGTTGACTGAAGGAGTGCAGAGCATAAGCAGCACTAATGCCACAGGCAATCCAATCTAATTGCTCTTTCAGAGCTGCAGTAACTCTATAGTTCCTGAGCATCTCTCACATGACAGAGAATCTGCTTTCCCAGCTTGCTGCAGGGCAGGGATGTGTTACATTACACATTGTCCAATTTAAAATACAGGGAAAGAGACTCCTTTGGCAGAAGGTCCCCTGAATGATCCATAACAATAACTCCTTGATGCCAAGCTCACACTTCACCATTCCCTTCTAAAGGCTTCTTGTCTGCTCTCAGGTCTGTTGCTAATTTAACCAAGCTAAATGAGATCAGGATGTACCTCTGCTCCATGCCCCAGTTTAGACATCCATCTCTGTGGTTTTCTTCTCAGCAACTGCTCTTGCCATCCATCAGAACCCACCACGTGAGTGCCATGTGGTGAATGTTTGCCTGAAACACGAGAGGAGGTCTTTAGAGGAAAGCCAGGTGACACAGAGGGATGCCACTGGATGTGTACATTTTCCATTCAGCCCTGCTAATCATCCTCATACCCAGGTTGTGTTGGGCATGACAGGCTGATTGGCAGGTCTGCCTCTACTTGGCTGCAAGGATGTGGCAAGTGAGGAAGGACAAACTTGTCACTAAAGGGAGCAGTGTTAAGGTCTGTCCTTTCCCTTGCAAACTGTAAATAATGAAGGTATTTGTCTTTTTCAAAGGAGAACTTGTAATCTGTTTGTGCTGACCCCGGAAAGCTGAGCAAAGCATCATGAGCAGCAATCAGACAGGTGAGAGAACAGACATGGTTCTGGGGAATATTCCCCTGGCAATAGCCCCTGCTTGCTTCTCTAGCTTGGAGATGGCACGGACTGACCCATGCCAGATTTTGTATTTGGAACAAGAACTGATCCAAAGCTCTCCCTGCCCAAGCCATCAATGTGAGCCAAGGTGGTCCTGGATTAGGACTTTGATTGCAGAATTTCTTACTTGGCACAACTTTGCCAACACCACCACAAAATCCCACACCTTAGTCCCCAAGCCTTGGGACACATTTACAGCCTGTGGCACTGGAATAGGTGGGACCTTTGTGGTCCAAGAGGAGCTAGGCAGGAGCAGTTATTGCTCTGCTGAGGCAATGCAGAGAGAGAGATTCTTTCTAAAGGACAGACATGTAAATTGAATGTATTTTTTCTTGATTTTCTAGTAAAAATCTTCAAGAAATCTGCTATCCCAGGAGTTGTTGTCACTCAGTTTGTGAATGATGTTCCACAAGGATGCAGTACACCTGATTTTGAGAAGAAACCACTCACTTTGACACTGCAGGAAGGTGAGATTTGATAAACAGGCAAAGCCACAGATTTGGGGGTTTGACTCCATGTCCTACCTACATGAAAAAATTATCATGATTACATCTAGTGAGTTTCAAAACTGATTTGACATGACCACAAAAAAAAGCATTGTGTGGCTGAAGTTTTGTTACACTGATGACAATTCCATCAGTACTCACAAAGGTCTCCTGAGTTGTCACTATGTGTATGCAAGACCAACATCTGGCTCTTATGTGTACAGCAAATCTGGTGAATTCTGCAGGAAGCTCTCACAGTAAGAATTTTGCAGCAAAAGATTAAGCACAATGAAAAAGCTGTTGGGTTTTTTTTTTTTATGTGTACAGCAAATCTGGTGAATTCTGCAGGAAGCTCTCACAGTAAGAATTTTGCAGCAAAAGATTGAGCACAATGAAAAAGCTGTTGGTTTTTTTTTTTTGTTTTGTTTTCCTGTTGAAAGAATTTGTGCTCAGCACTAAAATCAGCTGCTTTTAAAGAAGTATATGCTGCCTGGAGGTGCTGTTTAGGCTGTTTAGGCTATAGCAGCCTTCCAGTGCCTAAAAGGGCTCCAGGGGAGATGAAAAAGGGCCTGGAGTGCCAGGACAAGGAGAATGGCTTCCCACTGCCAGAGGGCAGGGTTAGGTGGGATATTGGGAAGGAATTCTTGGCTATGAGGATGGGCAGGCCCTGGCACAGGGTGCCCAGAGCAGCTGTGGCTGCCCCTGGATCCCTGGAAGTGTCCAAGGCCAGGTTGGATGGGGCTTGGAGCACTCTGGGCTAGTGGAAGGTGTCCCTGCCCGTGACAGGGGGTGGGATGGGATGAGCTTTGAGGTCCCTCCTACCCAGGCCATTCCATGGTTCTGTGATGATTCTGTAAGGAAAAACATAAGGATCTTGCACAGAGCACAGAGCAGGCAGCTGATGAGCCAAGAACAGGAATCAAGAGCCTCCCAGAGGTCTCTCTGCACCTGCAGAGAGTCCTTTTGTTTTGGGTTTTGTTTTTTTTTTGTTGGTGTGGAGTGGCCTGAGAACATCGTGTAGCTCCTCTTCCCTGCCAGGACTGAACCAGCACCTTGGATTTCGGTGTTCCACACTCACCTGTGGATTTCCAGGAACCACTGAGGTTTCATGAAGGAGCACAGTGGCCTCTAGTGGAACCTGTCCCTCTTCCTCCTCCTCCACCTGCACGTTTCATGCACTACCCAAGGCCCCTGGCTAAGTTTTCACCTGTCTGTATTTTCACCTGTGTAAATTTTCCAAGTTACTTCATTTTCAGCAGGCTCTTTGTGCATTCAGGTTGGTCACTGCAGTTCTGTGTCTGTGTAGAGGCACCACGAGGGCCTTTAATTCTATCATCACCCCACTGTGTTCAGTGCGTGGCTGAGCTGATTCTGCTGGCTGGGTGGACTGTGACAGATGGCAAGCATGGCAAAGTGCAGCCAAAGTGGCTAAAATGTAATACAGGGATAACAAACTGCAATCAGACTTCAATGAGAGATAGTACTGCAATCTCAAAGGCTGGAAAAGGTCTTTTGGTAAGGATTTGTTGGCAGGAACTTGTTCCATCAAATAAGTTTGGTGGTGGTGACTGCAGAAAGGTGTGAGAAATATTGCCAGACTTTACAGGGAGAATCTTTGCACAGTGTTGGTCACCTGAAGACCAAGAGTATTAAAAAATAATAGAGAGTGGTCATTTCCACCCTGAGGTGTTTCCATGGCTAACTCACGTCCATTTCTATTCCCACTCACCCACACAAGTCACGTCTCTGATTGTTTCCCAGTGTTCCCTGTGGTTTTGGAGCCTGTTGGAGGAGGTTTTTACTGGGCCATGGGAGAGCTGTTGGAGGTTTCTGTGGTGGGGATGCTGGTACTCAGGTTCCTGGGGAGCAGGGATGAAGGAGAGGAACTCCCTTCTTTTCTCCCTCCCTTGTCACTTCAAACAGCAGAGCCTGGTGGGTTTGGAGTGCAAGGTGGTGCCAGTTAAAGATTGGAGACACAGTGGGATTTGATAGAGAATATGTATGATGAGAAGGGATTTGGACATTTCATGAGTAAAAAGCAAGTCTGGGTTGAACTTGCTGTCAGGCTTCTGATTTCAGTGATGGCCAGAGATGTCAGCAGCCCCGTCTGGCAGGGTAATGCCACATTTTAAAGGCCTTTTATGACTGAATACACACAAAACCTGAATTATTGATGTGCAAAAGAAGATGTTATTTTTGAAGAATGTTTCCACATAAAATAACAGAAATTACTCACTCTGGGGATCATTCTTTATTTGAAAAGGGGCCAGGCCTGAGTGTCCTCATATCCAAGCCTGTCTTAAATAACCAAATTCTTGTCTCTTTTCAAAGGCAAAAATGCCATTTTCAGAGCTGTGGTCAAAGGTGTCCCAGCTCCTGAGGTGAAATGGTCACGTACACGGAAAGGAATGGATGATCCTGCCAAATATGAAACGTCCTTCAATAGTGCTACAAATGAATTCATTCTGCAGGTAAAGATCAAATATTTCAGAAAGGAGTTGTGGAACTGAGAGAAATGGACAGGAAAAACCTGCAGTGGGATGAGGGGAAGCAGAGGGGCAGCCCCAGTCTCTGCTCTCTGTGAGCTGGGACAGGACCCAGGGAAGGGCTGGAGCTGTGTCAGGGCAGGTCAGGTTGGATTTCAGGAAAGGTTCTTCCCCAGAGGGTGCTGGCACTGCCCAGGCTCCCCAGGGAATGGGCACAGCCCTGAGGCTGCCAGAGCTCCACGAGTGTTTGTACAGCACTGCCAGGGATGCCCAGGGTGGGATTGTTGGAGTGTCCTGTCCAGGAGCTGGACTAGATGATCCTGTGGGTCCCTTCAAACTCAGGGTATTCCATGATTCTACATATCCCCAGCTCTGAGATAACACACAGATAAGCAAACAAAGCTTTTTAGAGCCCTTCTGGGAACAGGAGAAGCCTCTAAGGTGCCACTGATTAGCTGCTTTATGAGAAGCTGAAGGTGAACTGAACCCCAGCCCTTTCTGTGAGCAGTTTCTGTGCTCTCCCTTTGAAGATCAAGAGCCTGGTTCTGGATGACAGTGATTTGTATCGCTGCTGTGCTGTCAATGCCTACGGAGAGGCCTCGTGCTCTGCTGGCCTCAGGATCATCCAAGGTAGGACTGGAGCTCTGGGCTCCACTGGCCCCCGTGGTCCCAGCCAGGGGCTGTGCTGTTCCCTGGGCTGGGTGTCCAGGACTTTGTCTGGCTATTTTGGTGTGAAGGTTTGGTACTGGAGATCTTTTGGTGGCTCCCTAACATTGTGAGCTTTAAGGCAAGGGAGAAGAAAGTGGAATTGTGCCCACTGCACTGGTCCATAATCAGATACCCTGATTTAGTGCTGATCTGCCCCAGTCCTTCCTTTATGGTGTTGAATGAATCAGCCCTTTGGGAGGGATCCATCCCTCTGCAGCTGTCTCTGCACCTCATTCCTGCTTCTGTCATAGTCAGTGCAGAGAAATGGCCACTTGCTGGGTCAGATATAACTGATCTTCTTGGAATCCACTTGAGCAGAAGATGGATTATATCTAAGTGTCCATGTCACCTCTGTGCCTTTCAAGTAAGTTTAGAAGGCACCTATCTACTGTTGTTATTTCCATCTTGGCTTCCCATCTCTAAAACAAGATGTTGATATTTCCTCCTATTGCTTAGACCATAAAATTGGTAGGGCAACAATGCTCTCCTCCTCTGTATGGAGTCTCCAGCAAGCATAGAATCAATGGCAATATAAATACCACCTTTATAGATGGAGTTTCCTGAGAGCAAATGTCAGATTGACAAGGAAATCCAAACTGGGATTCCCTCTTGCACTGGTGACAGATACAGTGGTTTCATGGCTCATTGGTTCACTGCTGTTAATCTAATCTTGTTCATCCTATAGTTTGTTTTTCTTCTGTTTTCTCTTACAAATGATCAGTTGGCTTTAAGAGGAAGGCAAAATATGTTCCTGTTCATGCTGCTGATGGTAAGTTAAAGATCTATATGTATATTATTGGGGAGGGCAGAGAGAAAAATACTCTGTCTGTCACGATGGTAAGTTAAAGACCTATATGTATATTATATTATTGGGGAGGGCAGAGAGAAACTCTGTCTGTCATGCTATTGCTACCCCAAACTTGTAAAGATTGGAGTAAGAGAAGGATTAATGAGCCTCTAATGTTCTGTCATCTCTGTCTGCTTGCTCTTTACCTTTTGCTAAAGTGATGATTTTAGACAGTTTTGGGCTGTTCTAATTAGTGATGGTGGAATCATTAGGAAAGGAAAAAGGGATTTGGGGATGTTAAGCACATCTGGATCAAACTTGTTAGCATGGCTGACAATAGTGGATCTCTAGAGGGAAGCCCTTTAGGGAGAGATAAACTTCACTGGCACTCAAAGGATGAGCATGGCAGTGAGAACTGACTAAGTTTCACGACAGTTTTTTGTTAAAGCATGAAAAAAACACCAGAGGAAGAGACCTCAGCAGAATGACCTGTTGTCACTGGCTATTCTGCATTATCTACTTTGGGGAGGTGCATTTCACAGTGCTGGGTATGTGACTGTAAGTTGCTTCCCCTGTCTTGTAACAGAGCTCAAGAAGACACTCCTGGACTCCAGGAAGATGCTGAGGAAGAGGTAAGGCTCTGGAGTGAGGGCCATGTTCTCACTTCTGGATGTTTCTGAGTGCTAGGGGACAGCTCCAGAGACCTTCAGGGCTACACTTCTTGTGTCCAAAGTTGTGGTGAGACTCCCTGTGGAGAGACAGGTCAGAACAGTTTGGCACTGCCAGCTGGACTGAGATAAACACAAGGTTCCAGCCTCATTTTGAGGGGTATTTCCTCTGCACCACAAGAGGCTGTGTTTCTCTGCTTCCTGTGCTTAGCTCACAAGTAGCTTCCCATCCAAAGAACAACTCTTGATGCACTGATGGCTCTGGCTGCCCAGGGGCTGAGCTCTGGCTCCCAGCCCAGCTGTACTGCCAGGTGCACAGGGCAGAATCCTTCCCTTCCCAGATGGGAAGCTCTAAGGATTGTCTGCTGATAATGATCTCTGTGCAGAATCCTGAACTGTGCTAGGCAGGTACCTGGCCTGGGCCAAACTGTGCCAGACCCCCTGGTGATAATTCAGTAGGGTGGAAGCTGTTCCCTGGCACCATTTAATTTGTAGTACAGATGCAGAAAGCCTGCTCTGGAAGAGTCCCAGTCTTTCCTGCACCTACAGGGCCAAGTGAACTACAGGAATGATGGAGAGAGATAAAAGAGAATTAGGGATAGAAAAGCAGGACATTTTGTTGTCCATGAAAATGTCTGAATGGTTTCCCCCTGGTTCTCAGGGCTGCAGCACCAAAACCAAAGCCCCTGGACAAAGAAGCTGTGTGGCAGCTGCTGCTGAATGCAGATAGGAGAGATTATGAGAAAATCTGTATGAAATATGGAATTGCTGACTTCCGTGGGATGCTGAGGAAGCTGCAGGAGATGAGGAAAGAAACAGAGAGTGAACAAGACAAGGTAAATAAACTGAAACCACTCATTTTTAACAAATTGCAGCTTCTGAAAACAGGCTATATCTTCCTAAATTGCTTTGGAGATGAAAATTTTGTTGTATGACAGTGATTTATGACAATATTTTAAAGAAGTTCCACTTTTTTACTCATGCAAGTGAAAATGCTAATGAATTTCTTGAAGCTCAGTTCACAGATTTTAGGAGATACTAACCACAGGGGTATTCAGTTGTCTCTGATAAGAATTTGGACCCCAAATTAAAAATTATATGTCCAAGAGTAAAAATTTGCCTTCACATACAGGGGCATGTAGAGAACAGGATGGGCAGTGTGGGAGTGGCCAGGAGGCAACACATAAAAAATCATTTATATACAGGAGGAAACTGTGGCAACTTACAGACACTGCCACTCACTGTACCAGAACTGTGACTTACAGATACTTCTACTACATAATGTTAGGTAGCTCTTTAAAGTAGATTTCATATTAATTCAACAGCTTAAGAACTTTTGTCATGGCAGCTTTATCATTTACTAGGTTCTTCAATATTTCTTTGCAGTTAATTCACAGTCTCAAAAACTTTGAACACATCAAAGTCAACAAGGAGGGAAATGCTACATTCAGCCTGGAGATGGAGCTGAAAAACAGCAACAGCAACGTTTACCTGCTCAAGGTGAGGGGGATGAGTTGGGCAGCAGCAGCTCAGAGCAGTCCCTCAGGTGTTCTACAAAAAAAGGCTTCATCTGCTAGGCAGTGGCTGAGAGCAAATAAATGCCTTAAGGTTGTCTGTCTTTTGCAGATCCCTGCTTGGTTAGGGAGCAGGGTGGGTGTGGGGTGATCTTTGGTGGTGGATATCCCTGTCGATTTGTAGATCCAAGTACAGAGCATGCAATCAGTTACTGACATCCTTGTGTCTTCATCAAATGCATAGAACAGTTGAGTTGGCTTTTAAAAGGGACCTTTTAAAGGACCTTAAAACATTCCACCTTCTGCCATGGGCAGGGACACCTTCCACTATCCCAGGTTGCCCCAAGCCCTGTCCAGCCTTGCCTTGGACACTGCCAGGGATGGAGTAGCCACAGGTTCTCTGGGGATCCTGTGCCAGGGGCTCCCCACCCTCATGGGGAAAGCTACTTTCTTATATCTAATCTGGCCCTCCTTCAGTTTAAGACCATCACCCCAACAGTGTCTTTCAGGCTGCAGAAATTCTGCATTTTCATATAAATTTTATTCACTTTCTCAAGTGTATTATTGCACTATAACTCCCTCTGTGAAAGAAGATCTCAGAGATATAAAACATTCCCTCTAGATCCGTAGTCCCCTAGATGGAGTCTGAAGGTACTCAGTGCTGGGTGTGTTTTTCTGAAAGTTAATTTTTAGTCAAATTGTGGTTAGAGGCTTTAATCCAGGGGAAATCAGAATGCCCTGAAGGGAAGGGCAGGCTAACTATGAATCTTCCGGATCATGAAGTCGATGAGCCACAATTTGGACAATGTAACCCAAGTGTGCTACAGAAAGTGGTGAACTTTCCTGCTCATCCAGCTATGAGGATGCTGAAATCTAGAAAAAAAGTGCTTTGTCTTTGTAGCTGCAAGAACTATGTATTAATTAAGCTTCAGACCCTTATGTGGGTAGCCAAGAGCTGCTGTTTTGCTGAGTTTCAGAGCCTGATGCCCTGCTCTGTGCAGGATTCACTGCCCAGACAGTGCCTGTGTACTGCAAAGAGCCCTGGGCCCTGTGAGGTTACTCATTTTGATCAACAAGGGGATTGTAGCACCAGCCTGTCCTGATGTGTTGAAATGCCTGGCACTGGTTGAGCCTTTGTGAGGACACTCCTCCCCTGCCCTCCCCTGGCCAGGACGGCGAGCGGCTCCGGTACGGGACAGGGGACGAGTACAGGAAGCACTGCCTGCGGAGAGTTGGGAGGAGGTACTACTTCACTGTCAACGATGTGCAGCCAGAGGATGCAGGGGTGTACCAGGTCAGGGTGGAGGACGTCCCTGTCTTCTCAACTGAACTGGATGCTCAAGGTAAGGAAGTCCGTTTGATGAATATGGTGTGCAATTGTGACAAAAGTTGGATTTTTTTGCTGGAAAAAAATATTGTGTCTAGGAGCAAGTGCAAAGCTCAGTAACTCCTGACCACCACAAAGGATTGGTTTTGTGCTGCCCAGGAAGGACTCCTTGTCTGGCACGGGTGAAAAGGAGCAGGAGGGTGATGAAGTGCTTTGGGTGCTGCATTTGCAGTCCAAAGGAGCAGGCCGAACCAGACCTGCCAGTCTGGCTGTGGGTGACAGTGAGCACACTCCTAAACCTAACCCATATTACAGTTTGCTTCTGTGAGTTTAGATTAATAACAAACTCAATCCGAGTATCACACTGCAGGAACACATCAATGACTGCAGACTGGAAGCACATCAGTGCTGGGAGGTACAAATGTCTCAGAAGATAATAAAGACAAAAATCTACTTTTCTGCTTTTCTGCAGAATTGGGCACTGAAGCACATCTGAGTTTTTCCTTTTTCTCAGTAACCCAGTGCTCAGAGGCACAACAACCTCCTGTTCTTTCCTCCTTCAGCTGTAACAATTTTCCTTGGAGCACGGAGGTGGCTGTTTCCTTCCCATAGCTCTCGGTTTCCCTGCAGCCATCCCGGCGCGGTTCCGGCAGCCGCTCTCCGACGTGCGCTGTGCCGAGGCCGGGGACGCCGAGTTCCAGTGTGTGCTGTGCACGCCCTGCCACCAGCCCCTGTGGCTGCACAAAAGCCACCCCCTGCAGGCCGGTGACAAGCACCAGATCTCTGTGACACCTGATGGCCTGACCCACAAGCTGATTGTCAGGAACGTGGGGCCCTCGGACAGCGGCCTGTACACGCTCGACGCGGGACAGGGCTCCTCCAGCGCCTGGCTCCTCGTGGAATGTGAGTGGTTGGCAGCAGGCTGTTCCCATGCTGTGTTGGCACAAAACATTCTTCTCGCTGCCTGATGGCTCAGGGAGATGTTGCTCTGCTGGGAAATTAATTGCTGAGCCTCTACGTCCAAAATTATGGCTGAGAAAACTGAGGGTGTTCAGTGTGGAGAAGATGAGAGTCCAGGGAGACCTTGGAGCCCCTTCCAGGGCCTAAAGGGGATCCAGGAGAACTGCAGAGGGACTTCAGAAAAGGGATGGAGGAACAGGGCAAGGGGGAATGGCTTCCCACTGCCAGAGGGCAGAGTTAGATGGGATATTGAGAAGGAATTCTTGGCTGTGAGGGTGGTGAGGCCCTGGCCTCACCAGAGAGGTTGTGGCTGCTCCATCCCTGGAAGTGGCTGAGGCCAGGCTGGAGAGGGCTTGGAGCATCCTGGGATATGGAAGGGTCCCTGCCCATGTTAGGGGGCAGAATGAGATGAGTCTTAAGGTCCCTTCCCATCCAAAGCATTTTGTCATTCCATTATTCTAAATCCTGTTTGGAAAAATGAATGTCTGGTTAGACCCTCTTTCCTCTTCAAATGAGACCAACTTTTCCCCTTTTAATTAGTCCTGACAAATCCTATTGGCTTGTTTGCTTTACAGCTATGATGAAGTAGCACATTCTCCATCAGTTATTGGAAAAATGCTCCCCAGCTCCCCACATGCTTTTGAGAAAGCTGTCCCAGTGATCACAGTGCAGCAGGCAGGGGCTCAGGGAGCTTTTGATACTCTCAGTTCTACACTATCAATGCCATTCTTCTTTCTAGATAATATTTTTCATTCCAAATTAGAGTTAAACATGCTGGAAAGAGCTCAGAGGAAGCTGAAAAGGTGGGAACACAGTGCAGGCACATTCACAGTCACCTGGCTTATATTTGTTTACTTATGAAAGGTGGTTCCTTTGGTTCCCTTTGACTCTGGTTTCTTTTGGGATCCTCTTGCAGCAGCAGGAGGGGTCTCTCTCACAAAGGCCACTCCAAAGCAATGTAGGTTTCTGAAACAAAGAAATTTCCCTTGGATTTCAGTGAGCTGTGAGCTCTGATAAATGATATCTGACCTGGAAACCAAAGCAGTGAGTGACCTGCTCTCAGAACAGTCTGAATTTCACATTAATCCAAAGCTATTCACAGATCTGAAAGCTTTAATCCTCAGGTTGGGCATCCCTAAACCAGCCATTATCCAGGTGTGCAAGCTGCCTCCAGAGCAGTGAAATCCCAGTTCCAGGGTGGGAACTGATGGCTCCTCTGTGCATGGAATATTCTGTAACTCCTCCATAGCTGGAGGGTGAAGGCAGATGGAATTAATGAATCCCACATACAATCTCAGCCCCTCTAAATCCGACCTGCCATGCTGGAAGTTTCTTTTTCTGTTATTTTTGGTTGGTTTGTTTGTTTGTTATAATGAGCATGTTTCCATTAAAAAACAATGCATTTTAACTAAAAATAATTGTCTTTAACTAACATTTCATTGTCTGAATGTGGCATTGAAAAAGTCAGGATTTGAAATTATTTTAAATTTATTTAAATGTATTGTGTGTGTGTGTGTGTGTGTGTCCTAAAATGAAATTCAAAAAGTATTAACACATTTTCTTTGGTTGTTGATGCAGTGCATGTCCTATTGATTTTCTGTTATTTTGTTCCCCTCTTTTTCTGTAAATTGTAAATCTGCTGCCATGAAACAATGCAACTTCAGATGCCAAAGGAAAGAGGACACAGGATGAAGGAGAAAAGATTGGAAGGGAGACATCTGAGTGGCTGAAAGAAACAATGGCAGACAATGAAAGGGCGAGGAAGCTTCGGCGCCAAGAACAAGCTGCTGCTGCTGAAGGTCGTCCTTCCTTTTCCACACCTTCTGGTGTGGAGAAAAGTGGCTGGTCCAGAACAGGCCAAGGCAGCAGTCAAGGCAGGGGCCAAGGACACTCCATTGATTCTGATGATGGAAGCCAAAGATTTTTGGGAAAAGAAGGGCTACGTAAAACCCACATAAATGGAGAGATGGGGTCTGGGCAGTTTTCTGGAGCAGGTCTAGATGGAGACTCAGCAGCCAATGATGGCAGCATCTTTGGACTAAAAGGCTTAGGGGGCAGGAGTGGGTTAAGGGCTGTCCATGGCATGGACTCTGTGTCAGGCAGAGCAGGTCCTGGTGGTGCAGTAGGAGGGGCAGGTGAATGGAATTCTGTGGATGGCAGAGGTGAAGGTTTGCTGGGTGCTGTTGACATTGACATGGATGATGGAGAAGGTTTGGGCTCTCAGCATGACAAGGATGGGAATTTAGGTGATGCCAGTTACAGAGCTGGTTTTGGGGGTGCTGGGAGGTTGGGTGGTGAAAGTTCTGTGCCAGATGGCCTTGATCCTGATTCAGCTGGAGTGGGAGCCAGTGTGGGTGATCTGTTCAGCAGGACTGGTCCAGGAACTGGAGCTGGGGGGAATGCTGCAGGTGCTGGAATGGCAGGAGGAATGAGGACCCACTATGGCAAGGATGGGCATGCCACTGTGGGTGATATGAATGGAGCAGGTGTAAACAGAGAGGGACAAACAGGGACTCCCTATGGCAAGGATGGCCTGACATCTCATGCCATTGGTCACTTAGGGCAGACAGGAAGATCTGGCTCATTGTATGGTCCAGATGGTCAGGCACTGGCAGCAGGTGCTGGTGGAGCTGGTGCAGGGGGATTTGGAGTTCCCTATGGAAAGGATGGTCTCCCAGCTGGAGCTGGTGGAGCTGGTGTAGGAGGATTTGGAGAGACTTTGTATGGTCCGGATGGTCAGCCACTTGGAGCAGGTGTTGCTGGTGCAGGGGGATTTGGAGTTCCCTGTGGAAAGGATGGTCTCCCAGCTGGGGCTGGTTTTGGTGGTGTTGGTGCAGGGCAACTTGGGGCTCCCTATGGGAAAGATGGTCTTCCAATTGGAGCAGGTGCTGGTGGGGCTGGTGGTGCAGGGGGACTTGGATCTCTCTATGGAAAGGATGGTCTCCCAGCTGGAGTTGGTGGAGCTGGTGTAGGAGGATTTGGAGAGGCTTTGTATGGTCCAGATGGTCAGCCACTTGGAGCAGGTGCTGCTGGGGTTGCTGGTGCAGGGGGATTTGGAGTTCCCTATGGAAAGGATGGTCTCCCAGCTGGAGTTGGTGGAGCTGGTGTAGGAGGATTTGGAGAGGCTTTGTATGGTCCAGATGGTCAGCCACTTGGAGCAGGTGCTGGTGCTGGTGGTGGTGCTGGTGCTGGTGGTGGTGCTGGTGCAGGGGGATTTGGATCTCCCTATGGAAAGGATGGTCTCAAAGCTGGAGCAGGTGCTGGTGGTGCAGGAGGACTTGGAGAGGCTTTGTATGGTCCAGATGGTCAGCCACTTGGAGCAGGTGCTGGTGCTGGTGCAGGGGGATTTGGAATTCCCTATGGAAAGGATGGTCTCCCAGTTGGAGCTGGTGTTGGTGGGTCTGGTGGTACAGGGGGACTTGGATCTCCCTATGGGAAGGATGGTCTCCCAGCTGGGGTTGGTTTTGGCGGTGTTGGTGCAGGGGGATTTGGAGCTCCCTATGGGAAGGATGGTATCCCAGCTGGAGCTGGTGTAGCTGGTGCAGGAGAGGCTTTATATGGTCCAGATGGTCAGCCACTTGGAGCAGGTGCTGGTGCTGGTGCAGGGGGATTTGGAATTCCCTATGGAAAGGATGGTCTCCCAGTTGGGGCAGGTGCTGGCATTAGTGGTGCAGGGGGTGTTGGGTCTCCCTATGGAAAGGATGGTCTCCCAGTTGGAGCAGGTGCTGGTGGGACTGGTGCAGGAGGTGTTGGGGGTCCCTATGGAAAGGATGGTCTGCCAGTTGGGGCAGGTGCTGCTGGGACTGGTGCAGGGGGAGTTGGGGGTCCCTATGGAAAGGATGGTCTCCCGGTTGGAGCTGGTTTTGGTGGTGTTAATGCAGGGGGACCTGAAGCTCCCTATGGGAAGGATGGTCTCCCAACTGGAGCAGGTGCTGGTGTTAGTGGTGCAGGGGGAGTTGGGGGGCCCTATGGAAAGGATGGTCTCCCGGTTGGAGCTGCTGGTTTTGGTGGGGTTAATGCAGGGGGACCTGAAGCTCCCTATGGGAAGGATGGTCTCCCAACTGGAGCAGGTGCTGGTGGGACTGGTGCAGCGGGTGTTGGGGGTCCCTATGGAAAGGACGGTCTGCCAATTGGGAGTGGTGGTGGTGCAGGGGGAGTTGGGGGGCCCTATGGAAAGGATGGTCTCCCGGTTGGAGCTGCTGGTTTTGGTGGGGTTAATGCAGGGGGACCTGAAGCTCCCTATGGGAAGGATGGTCTCCCAACTGGAGCAGGTGCTGGTGGGACTGGTGCAGCGGGTGTTGGGGGTCCCTATGGAAAGGATGGTCTGCCAGTTGGAGCTGGTGTTAGTAGTGCAGGGGGTGTTGGGAGTCCCTATGGAAAGGATGGTCTGCCAGTTGGAGCTGGTGTTGGTGGGGCTGGTGGTGAAGGAGAAGTTGGGGGTCCCTATGGAAAGGATGGTCTGCCAACTGGGAGTGGTGGTGGTGCAGGGGGAGTTGGGGGTCCCTATGGAAAGGATGGTCTCCTAGATGGAGCTGGTGTTAGTGGTGCAGGAGGAGTTGGGGGTCCCTATGGAAAGGATGGTCTCCTAGCTGGGGCAGGAGCTGCTCATTTTCCTCTTGGAGGTGAGAAAGTGATGGGATCTGGCAGTGGCACAGATGCCACACTGAGCAGAGCTCCAGGATATGCAGGTGGAGCAGGAGGAGAGGGCTTTTCCAGGGAAGGCTCTGCACTGTGGGGTGCAGGGTCTCCCTATGGCGAGGACAGAGGGTCAGCTGTAGCCACGGCTGGTGCAGGTGGAGTTGGGAGGTTGGGAGGGGATGAATGGGATTCAGTCCGTGGTAAAGGAGGTGTGGAAGCTGCTGGTGGACCAGGTGGTGCATATGGGCTGGATGCACATCTTGGCAGATCTTTGAGCGGTGAAACTGGAAAGGGCACTGCCAGTGATGCCAGAGGGCCAGGGAACAAAGGTTCAGCTGGTGACAGAGGGTCCCTGTCAGGTCCAGGAGGAGCCAGGGGAGAGGGCAAAGATTTCACACAGTTGGGCTCCCTTTACGACACAAATTCTGCCTTTGGAGAGGCAGGGAGTAAATCCCATGACAGATCTGTTGACAGGAGTAGTTCAGGTGGGTTTGGTCAAGGTCCACTGAGTTATGGCCAGATGTCAGGTCCTTTTGGTGGACCTCCTTCAGCAAACCAGAAAAACCAGGAACCTGACCTGGATCTTAAAGCAAATGATTCCCTGAAGAACACAGAAAACACAGCACAAAAAAGACGGAGTGTCCTGGATGATCTCAAAGGTACGTGGTTAACTGCTGACTCCTGGTCTTTGCATTTTGATACTCACATTCCTAATCCCGCAAAGAAATTGGATGTTATGGTTTAGATAAACACAATTCTATAGAAATTTGGTTGTCCCGTGATCTGTTCCTAATTCTCCCACTGATTGGCTGTTTGATCTTACACAGTGTGCTCTGATCAAACTGCCTTAAAGGTCTAAATTATTTTCTTTGTCTAACTTATCTAAACCAGGTCTCATCTCTTCATTTGTGTTTCACATATCATGGAACAGACCACTTCACAAACATACCACTTCCCATAAAGTTTCAAGGAGTATCGTCATGTTTCTTTGATACTGTTCCAATTCAAAACTGATGGTTTCACTTCATTTTTCAAAAACCTGCTGTAAAGAACTGTGTTTTCCAAGGTCTGGAAACAATTTTGTGCCTGCTTATATGGGATTATATAATGTAAAGAGTTATTTTCTCTTGTTCATCAGGAATAATAAGGTATTGCATAGAGTAAGAGGGGAGTAATGTGTTTGCAGTCATTTGAGTAAGACCTGTGGCTCCACCAACAAGATGATGATGTGAAAATTGTAGGAATTAGAAATTTCAGGTGTATAATCAGAGGGGAATATTGGCCTAATGGGATGGCTCACAAGTTAGGAATTATCATTGCTAAAGCATAAATATAAACAAGGAAGTAAAATCATCAAAATTTGGGTTCAGGGGGAAGGTGTGGGTTATATATTAGAGACAATATTATGATGGTAATGGAGAAGAACTTGGGAAGAGAAAGAGGAATACAAGGGTGGAGAGCAGTATGCCTGGGGCTGTTTAGGGGATATGTTGGGCAACCCCATGTGTAGTCAGTGCAGAGGAAGAGGAGAATGAAGCACTATATCCACACCCTGGAGCAGCCTGATTTATTCCCTACTGGCTGTAGAGGGAGGCAAGACAATTAGCACAGACATAAACTAGCAAATCCACAGCTGGATAATGTGATTTGTGGTGAATCCATTGCCCATGAGGTGGATGTTGATAGCTGATGTTGGGATGGCCCTCAAGGCACTGAGTGTACCTAGCTGGCCCACACTCAGGTGGCACAAAAGCCTATTCTGACCAGAGGACATTTTTTTTAAAGGCTCTTTTTACCTCACGTGCCCATGCAGTTTCAGCTCTGTAGCACAGACTTAGCTTCTTTCCCTTCCTTTGTGCCTGTTCAGTCCCGCGCTGTTACCTCAACAAGCAGCTGGCAACCGTGCGAGTGCTGAAGGGGGACCCAGCTGAGCTGTCCTGCACTGTCAGCAAGGACAACGTGACGGGAACCTGGTTCAAGGATGGACTCAAGGTGGGTTCCTTGAGCTTGCTGTTGCCTTTGGGTAGCAATGCTCTGCTCTCTGGCTCTACTTCCTAAGGGTGGTGTCAAGGTGTCCTTCCCCCTGACAGTCACCTGCAGCCAGAGTGGGGCCCTGGAAGGGTCCCCAGAATCCCAGAGTGGTTTGGGTTGGAAGGGACCTTACGGATCATCCAGTCCCACCCCCTGCCCTGGGCAGAGATGCCTTCCACTAGACCCAAGCCTCGTCCAACCTGGCCTTGGATGCTTCAGGGATGGGGCAGCCACAGCTTCTCTGCCCAACCAGAATGTTGTTGTTAAATATGGATGACATTCGTAAGTCTTTTCAACTGCATTTCAAATTGTAGTCTGTCCAGTTTTAGCTTGGATTGCATTTTTTCCTTTTTTTTTTTAAAGGATAGGTCTCTGTCCTTTATTTTGCAGTTAACAAGCATGGATGGAGTTGTCTTTGAAAAGAAAGGTCTTGTCCACAAACTGATCATCAACAAGGCTGAAGATATTCATGCTGGGAAATACAGATTTGAAGGTGGAGATGTAAAAACTGAAGCTTCAATTTTTGTTGAAGGTGAGTCTAGTCAAACTATCAAGGCAGCATGAGATGGGCTTTAAATGTAATATATTTACTCAGAGACATATTATTGGTTACTGAGATAAATTTATTATAAAGAATTACAAGATAAATGGAAAATGTTTTTTTGTATAGGTTGGTTCATTTTGCATTTGCAAATTTAACTAGGGACAATTCTGCCAGAAACTCAAATATTTTTGGGGTGCACAAAACACTTTACCAGGGCAGACTCTTCATTCTTGTGTTTAGTGTGTTACCTAGGAGAAATTTTCTGTAGTGAAAGGACAGTGTGATACCACAAAATTTTGTGATAATTATCCTGTAGCAAAGTACAACTAAAGGTTCAGATCCAAGTGTTGTGAGCTTCTAAGCATTACTGGCAGCACCACGAGGGGATCCCTTCCCTCCAAGGTGAGCCTTATCCTCCTTGAATTGTGGTTTTTAATGACCTTGTATCACCTGCTTAGATCCTCCCCAGGTGGACAAAGTTCTCCTCAAGAACTTGACCAGTGTCCCCACAGTGGCCAAGGCCGGGGAGGGGGTGAAGCTGCGGATCCCCTTCGAGGGCCGGGGGCCCATCAGGGCAGCGTGGCTGAAGGACAGGATGGAGCTGGGGGATGACACCAGGATCCGTGTGGACAAGACAGACACCTGCACCACACTGTCCATCTCCAGCTGCGACAGGAGGGACTGTGGGGATTACAAAGTCAGGCTCAAGAACGACAGTGGTGTCCTGGAGATCAACCTAAAGCTCGTGGTGATAGGTGAGATCCTATAACATTCACTGTGGCTTTCACTGTAAAGCTTAGGCAGGGAATCCATTGACACTGGTGACAAACTTGTTTGGAGTGACTGGGTATTTTGAGAGGAACAAGACTGTTGCTCCAAAATCATGGTACAAGGAAAGATTGCTGAACATGCTTCATGCCCTTTAGTACAAGGGAGCACAAACCTAGTTTGGTTTTTCATGGCCTAAGCAGCTGAGTTTTGAATGTTCAGACACTGTGGGAGATGTGACTGTGCACAACATGCAAATCTGAAATAGGACATCAAGGTCCAATTCAGCCCTCCCACAAATGTCTGGGCTCCTTTGGGAGACCAGAAATGATGTTTGCCTTTATTAGCAAGCTGAACTGGTGCAATGCTTATGAGAACTATTGACCCAGGGAGAGCAAGGGCCTGGCTTTCCTTCTTTTCCATCAAAAGTTAGAAGAGTGCAAGTTTGGAAAAGGCAGTTCACATGCCCAGCCCTCATCCTACAACTGTGCCTGCATTTCAGGAACAGTCTCCCAGCTGGTGAGCAAGGGACAGTGTCTGCTCCAAACCCAGGAGCAGGTCTGGGTCTGGAGCCAGCTGTGTCTCTGTTCATCTTTCCAGACAAGCCACAGCCTCCAGCAGGACCCATCAAAATTGTAGAAAGCTCTGCCAACAACATCACGATCCAGTGGAAGCCCCCAAAGGACGATGGGGGCAAACCAGTGCAAAGGTACCTTGTGGAGAGGCAGCAGGTGGGCAGGAACGACTGGGAGACTTTGGGAGAAACCCCCAGGAGCTGCACCAGCTTCACCACGAGCAAAGTGGAGGAAGAGATGAGCTACTACTTCAGGGTGAGGGCCGTGAATGCTGAGGGAGCGAGCGATGCACTGGAGTCAGGGGAAGTGAAGGCTGCTGGTAAAGGTGAGGAAAGATTCTCATAATTCATAATTCAATTTGGGAAATTCTTTATCAAAGCTGACATCAGAGGAAACTCACTGCATTGTGGATGTTGCTACAAATCTCAACTTCAGTCTTCACACAAAGCTGTGGAGGCTGCCCAGTAAGAGCAGCAGTTTGTTGTAGGCTCTGCTGATGCTGAGTGAGGTGTAATTATTCCTTGGTCATGCTCCATTTTGGATTGGAAAGGAAGTTTCATGGGGGAATGCAAAACGCATCAAGATCAAAGGAAATTTTTCTCAGTGTGGCTGCAAAGGGAACATGTGAGGCCTTTTCTTAACTCCACAGGCAAAAGAACTTATATGTGCAGCCCTTCTCAGCATGACCACTCCATTCCCCTGATCTCCAAACAACTGAATATTGGTTTTGTCCTTCAAGGAGTTTAAATACTAGAACAGGTTTGCCATGAGCACAAATGCAGTACTAGAGAGAGTTGTTCAGTTCTAATTCTCTTCTTTCTCCATTCTCATTCCCATGTTTCTGTATCTTGAACACTTTAGAAGAGGGCAAAGAAAATCCATTTTGTTACCAGTTCCTGTTGTTGAAAGCAAGAATGCTGCTGATTGTTCATACATAGGAATGACACACCCCACTGGCAGAGGAATTGTCAGTCCTGATGACAGCAGATCTTTTGTGAAATTCAAACTTAGGAACAGAGTCCATGCTGGATCCAGTTTGTGTGGGGAACAGGATCCACAGCTTCAGGTCTCAGCCAGGTTTTCAAAGCACATCCATAGGAGTACCTGGGGGAATCTGGAAGAAGAAATTATACCATTTTATCTTTCCATAAAAACATGCCTGCTAATAATGAAGCCCTCATCTCTTTGTAGCTTCCCCTGGTGCCCCAGATCCCCCCGAGATCATCAGTGCCAGCAGGGACACCATCACCATATCCTGGAAAGCTCCTTGTAAAACCGGCACTTCCCAAATTATGGGATACATTGTTCAGAAGCGCAAGAAGGGCACTGTGACCTGGCTGCCAGTCAACAATGTGCCTGTCAAAGGTGGGTATTCTGACTCCTGGAACAGCCTGGTGGATTTGAAAAGGAAAAAATGTCAGCTGGGTTTAGGAGCTGCTTAGGATCTTACACCTTTCACATCAACATGGTGATGGGTGACTTTGGAGGTCTTTACCAACTAAATTATTCTGGGATTCTGTGATTCAAGGGCTGTTTGATTTTGAAAGGAATACAATGAACACATGCCAGAAGATCACATGCACTTGGCTAGGGAATGGCAGGAGAATCAGTGACAGCTTTTATGGCTCCTGAGAGTTTTTCAGTCCATAATTCTGCCTGAAGTAAGGCACAGCTTTGTTGTGTCACCTTTCCTGATGGGGAACAGCTCCCCTGAGGCAACAGCTCTCCCTCTCCCTCTCCCTCTCCCCCTCCTCTCTCCTCTCTCCTCTCTCCCCTCTCCTCTCTCCTCTCTCCTCTCCTCAGACAAGAAACTGAAGGTGACCAGCCTCAAGAAGGGTGTGCAGTACGAGTTCCGCGTGGCAGCTGTCAACGCTGCTGGCACAGGACAGCCCAGTGACCCCTCAGAGCCTGCCTTTGCCCGGGACCCCACCAGTAAGTGCCCTGCCCTGTGCTCTGCTTTCAGGGTATTTGTGGAGAGATGTTCTTAAATCCTCTGTAAAAGTGTGTAGAGACAAGGATCAGTAATTGGGGAATGTTTCATGGCTGAGAATCAGCTGGAGGAAGGAATGGAAAGATTTCCTGTAGGATGTCCAAGTCAAGATTTGGCAGATCCCAGTGTGGGGTGATGTGCAGTGTGGAGGAACACTCAGGAGGGGCCACGGAGTGTTTTGGAATGTTGCGGATTTACTGCAGGGCTGGTAGGAGCAAGGACCCAGATCCAGCTCTGAAGAACTGGGATGAGGTGGGGCAAGTCAGCACGCTGGAAATCCAGTGCACTGCAAGAATGTTGGGGAATCTCAGGCAGTGACTGAAGAGGGAAGAGAAATCCTAAAAAAATAGTTTAAATAAAATTTCTCCATCCAGAATCTCCAGGCCAAGTGCAGGACCTTAAAGTGAGCAGCAGTGACAGCACCAGTGTCACCTTGACATGGAACAAACCTGAAGTACAAGACGGGAATGATGTGAAAGGCTACGAGGTGGAGATGAGGCCCTGTAACAGCCTCAGCTGGACCAAGTGCTTCACCCTCCCTGCGGAGAGCACCTCGTGCAGGGTCCAGGGCCTGCGGGCCGGGGAGAAGCTGTTCCTGCGCGTCAGGGCCCTCGGCCACGGCGGCCCTGGGGAGGCCTTGGAGCTCGAGGCGTGCGCTGGAGCTGCTGCTGCTGCCGTGGGTGAGTCGGGCCCGGGGCTCTGTGCCCAGGAATGGGGCTCTGTCCCCGGGAACGGGGCTCTGTCCCTGGGAACGGGGCTCTGTCCCCGGGAACAGGGCACTCTCCGGGAGAGGAGCGGCCGGGCCGTGGCGCTCCGGGAGCTGCTGTCCCCAGGCCCAGCCAAGCACGAGCAGCGCTGCTCCTGCTCACCTCAGCAGCGCAGTCTCAATATTGTTAATGTAATATCAGTTAATGATATTACATATGCAGTGCACAGTGCTCAGCTCATTTAGAGACTCCTTTGGACAAAACAACCCTCAGAACTCCATTTCCTCCTTGGATTTACATTCTGCCCCCTGTGCAGGGCCACACCAGTCACCAGGCAGAACACTGCTTGCGCTCTTCCAAGGGAAAAATAGAGTTTCCACTCAATTTTTAGGCAGTTCTGAAATGAAACATTTTATTTCATTCTCTTAAATCACATTTTTTAATGCTGGTTTTGGATACTTTATTTTACTTTTTAATTGTTTAGTTTGAAAGTTTTTACAATTTTCACTTTTAAATCTTTATTTACAATCTGCAGCTCTGTTTTTTTCCCTGCTCTTTGGGAACATAGCAGAGTTACAGATGTAAGAGATAATTCTGTGATGGGTTCATCTTCCTTAACTTGGATCCTAAGTGTACTTTGGCATATGCCCAGAGACCCCATTTATCAATAAAAAAACTAAAATAAATAAAATAAAATAAATCTATCTAAAGCAGGTGTTCAGTTCTATACTGGAAACACTAAATATAATTTAGCATTACTGTATTTGGTATTCTTAGATAAATACTAACTGCTGTAGTATATTCATAAAAAGAGGAAATATATTTTAAATGCTAAAGAATACTATTTTACATAAACTCTGGCAGTTTTCCTGTGGATGTTCTGTGTTCTGTACTGCATAAATAAGCGTCCATTGGAATTTCCTTTTTCCAGACCCCATTTAAATACAAAAGATGATCCCTGTGATGGCAAAAAGCAAATTTCTCTGTGACTGAGACATCACATGAATAGAGACATTGTTGTGATTGTATTTTTACATCATTTTCCCTTGTTTAGTCATGGTGATAAAAAAATAGTAATGAAATTTGAGAGGTGTAAAGTCTGGGACGGAACCAGGGAGATTTTTCCCACTGTGAGTCCCTCACCAGCCTCATTCAGCTGGGAGAGGCACCAGGGGGTGGAGCACTGTAACTGTCACCAGTGGCTGCACCAACATCTGCCTTTTGGGAGTAATCTTTGTCTCTTCCAGTCTCTCCCAGGTTACTGATAGATGACACAGTGAAAAGCTTCCTGGTTATAAAAGCAGGGAATCCCATGCGGGTGAAGATTCCCTTTGAGGTGGGTATTCAGGGCTTTGGAGGAATTCCCTGCCTGGTTTTATAGCAGACAGGAAAACTGAGCCACTGTTTTTATGTAATGGAATTTTGTTTACAAGTCAGTGGGCAAATAATTTGGCTTGCCTGTGCTGTGTAGACTTTCAGGGTGAAGAAAACAAAGCCAGAATCGAGTCGTCAGTCTTGGCATTGGTGTTTTATGACATTGTGGTCATTCCTTAACCTCTGCAGACACGGCTCAGTGCTGTCCACGTAGCCTTATCAATGTTATCCTCATCTGGTACTGCTCTGTCAGACTTCCCAAATCAGGGATTTCCCTGTGACCCCCTCAGAAGGCCTTGGGGCACCATTTCCAGCAACACCTTCACTGGGCTTGCTCACCAAGCAGCAGCACTTGAGCTCTGTGACTTGAGAACTTGGCAGGCACTGACAGAAATCTCAGTGCTTTGGAGTCAGCTTGGAACAACACAGGCTTTTCCTCATGGAAAATGGGGTCAGGCTTTGGAAGGGGCTGCCTAGGGAGGTTTGGAGTCCCCATCCTTGGAGATGTCCAAGGAACACCTTTTGTGTAAAAAGTGTAAAAGTGCTTTTAAGGTGGGGATGGGGCATGGGTTGGACTCAATGCTCTTGTAGGTCTTTTCCAGACATAAATGATTCCATGAGCCTGGGATACCAGAGGAGGATGATGAAGTGTGTGTATTTGCTGGCCTTTCTCCTAATCTCTGGGAGAAGAGACCAAAGGTGGCACAATGGAAATAAAGACTTAGAGGACGGTTTTTTCTTTCCAAAACCAACAGATCTTTTTTTTTTTAAAGCAGAAAATACTGTCTCCTGAAGTTTTCTGTCCTTAATCTGACATAGCTTGTTTGACACAGTTCTGAACACTTTACTGCACTTACATCCTTAAAGGACAAAAAGGGAAAAAAATCGTATATAAACTGTAGAACAGATCAGGGCTCTCAGATCCATAGTGGATCTGTATTTCTAAACATTACTACATTGTGGAAGTGCATATTTGGGGTAAGATAATGAAACTAAAGATGTAAGACACAGTCTTGAGGTGAAACAAGTGGCTGTGAGAGTCATTGCTGTTTGCAGGGATCTCCGGAGCCGGTGGTGACCTGGTTAAAGGATGGGCTCCCCCTTCCCAGCCGGGCTGCCGTGAGCACCGAGGATGGCAGCAGCCAGCTGCTGCTCAGGGCAGCCGAGCTCAGTGACAGCGGCACCTACACCGTGCAGCTTGGGGATGGGCTGGGCAAAAGGGAAACCTTCAGCTTCCAGGTGCAGATTACAGGTAACCCACTGCCATCCACACCAATCTACCAGCAACTCCCAGCCAATCCAGGCTGGGGCATGAGGGGACTGGGAGCAGTCCCTGGGGGAGAAGGACCTGGGGGTGCTGGGGGGTGAGAGCTGGACGTGCCCTGGGCTGATCCCCCAGCATGGGCAGCAGGGGAGGGGAGGATTCTGCCCCTCTGCTCCCTCAGGTGACACCCCACCTGCAGAGCTGCCTCCAGCCCTGGGGGCCCCCAGCAATAGAAAGATGTTGAGCTGCTGGAGCAATTCCAGGGAAGGCCATGGAGATGCTCAGAGGGCTGGAGCCCCTTTACTCTGGAGGCAGGCTGGGAGAACTGGGGGTGTTCATCTGGAGAAGAGAAGGCTCTGGAGAAATCTGAGAGCCCCTTCCAGTGCCTAAAGGGGTTCCAAGGGAACTGGAGAGGGACTTGGGACAAGAGCCTGGAGGGACAGGACAAGGAGGAATGGCTTTTCACTGCCAGAGGTCAGGGTTGGATGGGATTTTGGGAAGGAACTCTTCCCTGTGAGGGTGGTACAAGTTGCCCAGAGAAGCTGTGGCTGCCCCTGGATCCCTGGAAGTGTTCAAGGCCAGGTAGAACAGGGCTTGGAGGATAGTGGAAGGTGTCCCTCCCCATGGCAGAAGGTGGGACTGGATGGGCTTTTAGGTCCCTTCCCACCCAAACCAGTCTGGGATTCCATGATTTACTGTGAGTTGGCAGAAGGCCACAAACTGAGTCTGGCAGGGTGAGCTCTGATGCAGTTTGTGCAGGCACAGGGAGAACCAGGGTACAGTTTTCTATGAGATTGGCTAGGCACTTTATGATCTCACTTGTTTGCAGAACAGAGCAACCCACTGACTAAAACTATCCTTCCACAGTGAATGAGGGAGGCCAGCACAGGCTGTGGGACATTGAGCACAGCTCTCCCAGCTGTGACCCCAGCAGGAGAAGCAGCTCAGCTGTACCACCCTCCTCTCACTGCTCAGCCAGTGCAGATGTTGTGCAGCAGCAGCTCAGTTCACAGCAAATGCATTTGTGTGCCTGGAGAAGGAATGGCATTTTGTCCTTTCCAGTGATCAGGATGGTCACTGAGCCCCAGACATGCAACAGACCCCAGGATTTTAGGGTTCTGTGCCACTGTCCCTACAGCTGTGTCATTGTGTGCCCTCCCCTGGCAGATATCCCTCAGCCCCCTGGAGCCATCCGGCTGGAGGAGAATGTGCCCAACACAGTGACAGTGACCTGGGACCCCTCAGCATCTGAGCAGTGGGAGAAGAACCTGTATTACACTGTCCTGAAACGGGAATCCCAGAAGGGCCTGTGGCATGTGCTGGGGGACCTGATCTACAACAACAAGTTCACCTTCACCAGGGTGGTCCCAGGAAGGGATTATTACTTCAGGGTTGTGGCAAAAAATGACCTGGGAGTCAGTGATCCATCAGAGACTGTGCAGCCCTGGAGGATCTGGAAAAAAAAGGGTAAAACATTTTTAAGTATTTCTCCGTGTTGTGTTTTGTTTCTTTCATTGCTTCTAACACCCCACACTCAAATGGATCTCTCCTCCTGGGAATATTCAGTGTCCCAGAACAGCAATGCACAGAGATGCCCTGAGGAATTCCAGCTGGGCAGGGAAGGTTTGTTCTTTCTGCAGGGACTTTGTACAGACAGACCCTTCATTGCCAGCCATTATGACATGCAATTTTCCCCAAAATGAATTTCCAGAAAAATCTAAGGCTTTAGTATTGTAGAAACCAAAGTTTCTGACTTTGAAGTTAAATGTTGGGTAATTCTGAGGAGCAGCAGGGGTTACAATCTATAGGTGCATGGGATCTCTGATAATTTGCACAATTCCAGACTGCACAAACAAACCCCTGCAAACTCTGCAGTGCTGGGAGCAGTATCTGAGCGTGTGTTTGGTGCTTTATTTTTCACAGCTGAATTTCGAGTGAAACCACAGAAATACAGGGGAGTTAACCAGAACCAGCCCCCGAGGTTCCTGGTGCCCCTGAAGTCCCACGTGGTGGTGACGGGCAGCGAGTGTCGCATGAGCTGTGCTGTTGGAGGCCACCCCCCACCAAAAATCACATGGTACAAGGACAGCAGAGACCTCTCCAGAGATCCCAACTACTTCTGCACCAACGACTTCGGGGTGTGCTCCCTGGTGGTGCTGGGGGTCACCAAGCAGGACGCAGGGGAGTACATGGTAGAAGCCAGCAATGAAGTGGGCCGTGCCTTCAGCAAAGCCTTCCTTGCCATCAAAGGTAACCCTGCAGTGCTGCTTCCCTGGCAGATCCAGGGCTGGCACTGCTGCCCAGAGCCTCAGCAATGGTCCCCAGCCAGCTCCACCTGCTGACAAAGCAAGGGTACATTTGGGCTGTTTAACTGAGTTCCTCCTCGTGGTTCTTGTGATCAAGTACCAAACAGAACCAGAAATAAAAAGGCAGATGGGAAAGACCACTTGATTTCTACATGACCCAGAGGTTTTGGCTGAGCTTGAGCAAATTTTTTAGAAGGAACAATCCCATCTTCGTTAGGTAGGATAATATCAAGGTTAGCTTTCTCTCGAGTGCAGGAGCTGCAGAATAAAGACCCTGGCAAATGTGCCAGGTGAAGGGAGCATTGAGAGAGCAGCTGATGTTTGACCAAAGCCAACACAAAGGGAGAAAAGGGAGGGACATGGTCAGAGGCATGGGGATCCTCATGTGGATGGAAGGGCAGTGGGATTGGCTGGGGATGGACTCTTGGATATACTTATGGATAAATATTGTTGGCGACTGTACCCACTGAAATATCCTTTACTCAGAGTCAAATACTTTTCTTTAAATGCAAAATACCTTGCTGGGATTACAGGAGTGGCAAAATGGGTCAGTTAAACCCCTGTCACCCTCCTGCAGATTTTTAGGCCCTGTAATATTTCAGCTCCCTCTCACAGGGAGCTTTTTAGACTGTTTCTGATCTTCCTCACTACAACCCTGAGCTGCTTCTCTCTTACTTTCAGACTCCTCCCTGTAGCGTGACCCTGCTGAGAACATCCCTGCCTGGCTCTGAGGATGAGAAGGTTCTGGTGAGGACTCCTCCATATGAAGGCTGTGCATTTATTGTCAGATGTTCTTCACAGTCTGAGGGTGTTATTTTTCAGATCCAGCAATTGCATGTTGAACATGATGCTGCATTGCCATCAATACTGGGGGAAAAAAGCTTTAAGAGCACTGTTTTTTGTTTTTTTTTCAATAATCAGGCTTTCTATGAGACCTTTAAAACACAGCTTAGAAGTTTCAGGAACACAGAAGATGAGAGGAAAAATAATTGGCCAAAATGAAACTTTCTGTGGAGAACACAGGTGGGTGGGAGAGACCATCCTGCCACACCACTCACCCACAATAAGGACATCAGGGATCTCTGGTCCTTTCACATATGCTTTTTCAAACCAGAACAATCACTTTGGATTCCTTGTGATTCTTTGCAGGTTTCCCAAATCTGGCAAAAGCAGTTCTGCATATGTTGTACTACCAGTAGCTGCTAAGTAGATTGTCTTCCCTAACCCCTAAGTTTAAAAGATCTGCCTGTTCTGGGCAGGAGATGAAATCTCAGACCAGCCTGGCATGGCATAGGTGAAACTCCCAGTGCAAATGCACTGGTAGGAAGGACTGGCAGTCTACAACCAGTGTGTGAGCAGAGCAACTCCCAAAACCCACAACACGTGCTGTACAAAGGCTGTGCCAGTCCTGAATCACCCCCAGCATCCCCTGTGCATCCCAGCTGCACTGGTCATGGCACTGCGGGAGCTTTTGCCTTGAGCAGAAAGAGGTAAAAAATCCTTCCTGTCTGACCAGAAACATGAGGGACTCCCAGGGACCTCGTGCCACAGCCAGGGGTTCCCATCACCCGGCCTGGACAGCAAAATGTTCTGGTGGCTGTGGGAGGGTGTCACAGCCAGAGCACCAAGGGTACTTTGTGACAGGAGAGAGCAGAGCCAAACACAGCTGTGGGGCTGGAATGTTCTTGGGATTACATTTTGTACAATGTTGTACAGATGTAGCAGCAGTAGATAATGAAATTAAACCATAATTCAGTGAAATCTACCCCGGGTCTATGTTTATTGTGGAGAAGGAATCCCAGTCAGCTCCTGCATCCCTGTTTGCTGCAGTTTCACATCTGATGGCTGCGCTTGGTCATCCCTCATGGAATTGCTCCCGCAGCTCCTCCTCCTGCGGGGCTGCAGGCAGGGGACATCACCTGCAGGGCACATTATCCGACTGATAAACACCAGAGATTGATGGAAACTGGAACTGGAGCTGAGGGACCTCGGGAAGCCCCGGCACAGCAGGAGCAGGAGATTCCTGCAAGTGCTGCTGAGGTGTCTGCGCCAACTCCAGCGACCGCTCTGCTGCCGCCTTACCGCGCGAGCTCCCTGCCGGAATCACCTCCAGCTGCAGGGCCGGTGTGCGTGCTGCCCTGTGCGGGGCGGGAGGGGCTGACTGACGGCGTCACCGCCCGTGGCCGGGGCGCGCCGCAGGGACAGGGCTCCGGCGCTGCCCCCGAGCTCCGGCATTGCCCTCAGGCCGGGCCCGGCTCCGGCACTGCCCCCGAGCTCCGGCACTGCCCCCGAGCTCCGGCATTGCCCTCAGGCCGGGCCCGGCTCCGGCACTGCCCCCGGGCTCCGGCACTGCCCCCGAGCTCCGGCATTGCCCTCAGGCCGGGCCCGCCCCGGCGCTGCCCATAGATGGTCTCTCCCGTCCCGCTAGCAGGTCCCGCCCCCTCGCGTCCATCACGCCACTGCCGTCGGTGATTGGTCAATTCTCGGGGCCCTCCCCGACCCAGCCAATGGCGGCGCTCCCTGCCCTGAGCCAAGATGGCGGTGCCCAGGAGCGGGCCGGGTGCTTTCCTCGCTCCTCTGTCTCTTTGGCACCCGGGGAGCGGCGGGCCCCGAGCGCTGGCTCTGTGCCTGCGGAGCGCCCCGCGGCTCTGCCCGAGGCTGCTCGGACGGCGCGCGCTGCTCTGGCCTCGGGAAGGGAGCGGGCACCGAGCGGTCTCTGAGGGAGCGGCAGCAGCGCGGGACGAGACGGGCCCGGGAGAGCCGAGCACCGCCGGGGAGGTGCGGGAGGGTTGGAAAATAACAGTAAAGACAAGGAGAAACAGAGGTGGGGCGGCAGCGAGAGGAGCTCTGACCGCGGGGGAGCGGGCGCGGGGTCACCGGGCACCGGAGTGCCCGCGGCGCCGGTGCCGCCCCTCGGGGCGTTCTCGGGGGGCTGCTGCGGCCTCTCCCGGCTCTCCCCAGAGCTCCGCGCTGCCGCTGGAGCGCCCTCGGGATCTCCTGGAATTCATCGTGGAGTGGGGATTCTTTCTGGGAGAACAGCGGGCGCTGTTCCGCGGGCGCTGCCCTGAGGCAGGCGGGCAGCCCCCGGGCCGGGGCACCCGCGCAGCTCCTCGGCTTCGCTTCAGCACCGCTGTCCAGGACCCGCTGCACACCCGGCTTGTGGATAAATCTTGGGGATGCTCCCGGTCCTGGGCGCTGGGTCCAGTCTGGGGGGCAGCGGAGACTCCCCTTTGCTGGGTTAAAAGGATGAAGGTTTTGGCCGTGCTGAGGGGAGCAGAGGTCGGATTTTCCCCACCCCCGGGTGGGTTCATTCCTCACCCAGAGAGGTCCGGCCTTTCCCAGGGTCTCGCTGTCCTCCTCCGACACCGGCAGCTTCATTTTCCAGCCTGGAGTTTGTAAATCAGTCAGGTGTGGGGAGAAGGCAGGGGAGTCACAGCAGGGCAGCTCCCACATGCCAGGGTGATGGGGTGAGGGCATGGAAGCATGCACGTGGATGCCCCAGGGACTGGGGTGTGTGTCCTGTCAGAGAGGATCCAGCTGCAGCGCTGCCTCAGGCAGGCAGGGACAGTGTGAGTGTGCCCTGCACACAGAGGGAGCCCCCCTTGACCGTGGCTGGGATCAGCTCCTCTTCAGCAGTACGTCCTGGGCAGGGGTGCCTGGCCTCATGGCAGGGGTGGGATAATGGCTCTGGGGTGGGCATGGGAACATCCTGCTGGCAGCTGCTGAGGGGCTTCATCTGCCACACTTGGCTGCAGAAGGGGGCACTGTCCTGCCATCCTGCTCTCCCAGAGAAGGGACTGGAGGTGTAGCAGCTCAGAGCACAGCTCAGAGCACACCCAGCATGGCTGGGCACTGATGGTAGGACAGGGTGGACAGGACCCCTTTCCCACTGGCTGCCAGGTTCTGCTGTCTCTCCCCGAGTGCCAGCATCTCCTTAACTGATCTCTCTTTTATTTGCTGTCAAAAAAACTGGAAAACCTTCCCAGTGTGTTGGGTTCAATCCAGCAGCTCCAGCTCTTAATTCAGTTTAGCAGTTATTAATAACAACAAATAAATATTTTTTTGTAAGTTGAATGTTTCATGGGAACATCCTGCTGGCAGCTGCTGAGGGGCTTCATCTGCCACACTTGGCTGCAGAAGGGGGCACTGTCCTGCCATCCTGCTCTCCCAGAGAAGGGACTGGAGGTGTAGCAGCTCAGAGCACAGCTCAGAGCACACCCAGCATGGCTGGGCACTGATGGTAGGACAGGGTGGACAGGACCCCTTTCCCACTGGCTGCCAGGTTCTGCTGTCTCTCCCTGAGTGCCAGCATCTCCTTAGCTGATCTTTGTCAACCTCTTTTATTTGCTGTCAAAAAAACTGGAAAACCTTCCCAGTGTGTTGGGTTCAATCCAGCGGCTCCAGCTCTTAATTCAGTTTAGCAGTTATTAATAACAACAAATAAATATTTTTTTGTAAGTTGAATGTTTCTTTCATCCTTTTCCACCTGGTCTAATTGAAAGTATTTCTTCATGGCAGGGGAGTAGAACTGGTTGGTCTTTAAGATCATTTCCAGTCCAAATCTTTTTAAGATTCTGTGAATGGGGGGCTGCTTCTCCTTCCAGGAACTATTTGTGATGGCCAAAGGATGTTCTAGAGGGACCCTGACCTGTGGCTCCGTGTCACCAGGGTCGCAGTGGTGCTGCTGGGGGGTGGCACTGCTGCAGCCTCTGCTGCCACTTGGGAGTCCTTGGGAGCCACTCCCCAAAATTTCCATCCCACGAGAGAGCAGCAGTGCCTCATTAATGGAGTTTGTGAGCACCGAGGAGAGAAATGCTCCGAGCTGGAGGGAGGGCTGAGCTGAGCTTGGGGCTCCCTGCTGTGCAGGGCCGTGCTCTGACAGCTGAGCTGGTGGAGTTTGTGAGCACAGAGGAGAGAAACGCTCCCGAGCTGGAGGAGGGCTGAGCTGAGCTTGGGGCTCCCTGCTGTGCAGGGCCGTGCTCTGACAGCTGAGCTGTCCCTCTGCCAGCGCTGGGATTTCCCCCGTGTTCCTGGGCTGGGTTCGGTGTCACTGCTGAGGGCAGTGGCTGTGCCAGCCTGGGGAACAGGTTCCAGCAGCATTACAGCAAAATCCCCTCTCAGCCCCTGAGAAGGGAGGGCGGATGCTGCTGGGGCAGGAAGTAGCTCCTCACTCAGGAGCCTCCTGGGCAGGAGGTTGCTTGGGGTATTTGGGTGATTTGCACCAAAGCTCCTCCACCATCCTCTCTCCCCACACCCCTGAATTCTTTTGTTTGGACTCCATCTCATCTTTGGTGACTTGGAGAGCAAGAACAAGTCTGCCCATGAATCAGCAGGCTTTTCCAGGCTGCTTTCTGAGTGCTGAAATCTCACTCAGGCATGCACTGGATCTTTCCTTGTCGATTTTCCCTTCATAGGCCCTGCTTAGGAAAGGCTTTTCTCCATCCAGCACAGTGACCAAGGCTGTGCTTCCTCACCCGCTGCAGGTTCCTGGTCTCCGTGTGCTGGGAATGTCACTGTCCCTCTGGTTGCCCTGTCCTGCTGTGTGTCCCAGTCCCTTCCCTCCAGGACAGAGCTGCTCAGGGCTGTGGGACTCAGCTCTTGGTGGAGCCCCTCAGGAAGAGCTGCTGCTGCCTCCAGCAGGAGTTGGGATGCTGCTCTGGTTCTGCTGGGAGCAGGAGGGGGGGCAGGAGTTGTGCTCGTGTCTTCAGGGAGCCTTTGTGTCCCAGAGAGCTTTGGTGCATCCCGAAGTGTGGAGTCCTCCCCTGGCAGGGCCTGGCTCTGTTGGTGTCAGTCCCCAGGCAGCCCCTGAGGGTGAGTTTGGGTCCTTTTCCCTTTGGGAAGGGTAACTCCTCTGTGGCTCCGTGGCCCAAGCTCCTGGCAAAGAGAGATGGTCTGGACTGACGTTGAGCGGCGTTTGGAGCAAAGGCAGCCGAGTTTTGCACCCATCTCCTGGATGCAGGTGCTGCAGGAGGGGATCCGGGTGCCTCTGCATCTCGCAGGGCTCAGCAGGGAGCGCAGCCTGTGGAGCAGCTCCTCCCTGGCTGCACAGCCCGTCCCATCCCTCCTTCTCCAGGGAGTGGTGCTGGAGGACTGCAGAGCTCCCTGGGTCTTCCCAGGAGGCTTTTCCGTGCGGGAGGCTGCAGTTCAGCTCCTTCAGAGCCTGGAGACACTTGAGCCTTGAGCCTTGTTTAAGAGCTGCACTGGCACCACTGGCATCACTGCCATTGGCATCTACTGTTACCAGATTCCACATCCCCCATGTGGGGATCCTCACAGAACACAGCCTGGGGTCACAGTGTGGGATTAAACCGAACCCTGCTGTGCCTGGTGGGGCTCCTGGTGCCCAAGGATGCAGCAGGGCAGCACCAGTTCAGTGAAAGGTGATGGGTGCTGTGTGTGCTGCTCTGACAGCAGCCTTGGGAGGCATCTTGATCCATGGAGAAGATCCTGTTACACCACAAGGAGCTGTTTGATAAGGAAACCATCTCCACATCTGGGCCACTCAGCTGCTATTTTTGCTGTAAAAAGGGATTTTTGAGGTTTCTCGGTCTGTGCCCAACCCTGGCACTGACAGGACTGGAGGTCTGCCTAAAGAGCCAGAGGTGTCTGAAAACTCAGAGAGAAAGAAAAATGCTGAAATTGGAGCTATCCAGCCTGGAGAAAGGAAGGCTTTGGGGAGAAACTTAGAGCCTCTTCCAGTGCCTAAAATGGCTCCAGGAGAGCTGGAGAGGGACTTGTGACAAGGGTCTGGAGGGACAGGACAAG